GCTACCTGCAAAAGTACAGGAGGTGTTGGAGCAGTACAAAGATATCATGCCAGACGACCTGCCTGCAGGAGTACCTCTAGCGTGAACCCACGAGCACGAGATCGTGGAGGAACCAGGTGCGAAACCCGTCTCACGTGCACCATACCGCATTAGTCCGACCGAACTGATAGACATGAAGAAACAGATTGAGTACCTACTGGACAGACAACTGATCCGCCCATCCACCTCTCCCTACAATGCACGAGTTCTCTTCAATCCAAAGCCAGACGGTAGTTTACGGATGTGCATCGACTATCGGGCACTGAACAAACAGACAGTAAAAAAAAAATACCCCATACCGCGCATAGACGATCTTCTAGACCAACTGCGTAGTGCAACGGTGTTTTCGAAACTGGACCTATGGTCGGGTTACTGGCAGATCAAGATGGCAGACAACTCGGTCCACAAGATGGCGTTCCGTACCAGATACGGCTCCTACGAATACTTGGTGATGCCGTTCGGACTCTGCAACGCACCAGCAACGTTCCAGGCGGAGATGAATCACATCCAACGGCCCCTGGTGGACGAGTGCGTAGTGGTGTACTTGGACGAGATACTCATCTACTCCAAGAACATGAAGGAGCACGTGGAGCATCTGCGGAATGTCTTCGAGATCCTGCGAGGGAACAAGTTCTACGTGAAGCTGTCGAAGAGCGACTTCGCCCTGAAGAAGGTGCAGTTTTCCGGGCACCTGGTGAGTGCTGAGGGCATACACGTGGACCCGCGGAAAATCGAAGCCGTCAAGAAGTGGAAAGTACCGGAGAACGTGAAGGAGTTGCAGCAGTTCCTAGGCTTCGCCAACTACTACAACAGGTTCGTGCCGCAGTACGCTAAGATAGCAGCGCCACTGACCAACCTACTGAAAAAGGATACGACCTACAAATGGGATACTCCTCATCAGCAAGCCATGGAGCAGCTACAGACAGCACTGACTACAACGCCAGTACTCATCTTACCGGACCCAGACAAGGACTACGTGGTGGAAGCAGACGCTAGTGACCAGACAGTCGGAGCAGTACTGATGCAGGATCACGGACGCGGTTTGCAGCCCATCGCCTACCTCAGTAAGAAGCTACACGGAGCAGAACTAAACTACCCCATTCATGACAAGGAGGCCTTAGCGATAGTCATAGCCTTCAAGGCGTGGAGGTGTTACCTAGAGGGAGCCAAGACTACAGTCTGCACTGATCACTGCAGTCTCAAATACCTGAAGTCGCAGCCGACGCTCTCACGACGACAGGTGCGGTGGGTGATATTCTTGGAAACTCACTTCCATTACGACATCGTCTTCAAACCCGGGCTACACAACAAAGCGAACGCGTTGAGCCACCCCGGTCATGTAGCAGGCATCCAGCTCGACGAGATGAACCCTCTGCTCAAGGGTATATTCCAACATGGATTCTCCGTGGACGCAGAGATCGCTACAGCAGAGAAACAGAAGCTGTTACAGTGGGAGAAAGACTTAGCTGTAAGGAAGAGTTCAGGGAAGATTTGGGTACCGAGCTACGCCCCGCTCGGACAGATTCTGCTGGAGGGGTTTCACGACGTACAGTACGCGGGACATTTCGGGAGCAACAAGACGTTAGCAGGGATAGCGAAGTATTACTACTGGCCCGGGATGGCATCAGACGTGCAGCAGTTCGTCACCTCGTGTGACACGTGCCAGCGGATGAAGAGTAGCAAGCAGAAAAAGGGTTACTTCAGCCTCTACCCGTACCGGAGCAGCCATGGCAAGTCGTTAGCCTCGACTTCATCACTGGGCTTCCTTCGACCTCACGAGGGCATGACGTTATATTCGTGGTGATCGACAAGTTCTCTAAGATGGGACACTTCATCCCGACCAACGCCACGGCTACAGCTGAAGCATCTGCTCGCCTCTTCTTCGACCGCATCATCACCATCCACGGCATCCCAGCTACACTCATCTCAGACAGGGACCCAAAGTTCACTAGTAAGTTCTGGAGGGAACTCATGGGTTTGTTGGGGACAAGGCTTGCAATGTCTTCAGCATACCACCCCCAGACTGACGGACAGACAGAGCGACTCAATCAGGTGGTTGAACAGTTACTGCGCACCGCTTGCAAAGACGACGTCAGCCACTGGGATTCATAGTTACCGACACTTGAGTTCGCTTACAACAACGCGCCACATGTGGCCACAGGGAAATCTCCTTTCTTCCTGTGTTACGGACGGGAACCACTTACACCACAGCAGCCAACCACACCGGCACACGTCCAAGCCGCACATGACTTTGTCATCACCATGCAGCAGCTATGGGAGAAGAATCAGCGATACCTCACCACGATGCAGACCTCCCAGAAGCAGTATGTCGATCGCCAGCGACGTGATCACACCGTAGCAGTCGGAGATCAGGTGCTTCTCGACACGCGCAACTTGAACCTGTCTCACCTGCCATCCAAGCTCCGGCCTCGCTTCTGTGGTCCTTTTCACGTTGAGGCACAGGTGACACCAGTAACATTCCGCTTGCGCTTACCTACTACGTGGAAGCTTCACAACGCTTTCCATGTTCAGCTGCTGAAGCCCTACAAGGACCTCAACCAACAGTTCACGGGACGAAAGCTACCACCACCTGTTCTCGTACATGATGAACTAGAGTACGAGGTGGAACGAGTTCTCGCTCATCGGCGCAGACGCGGCAACACGCTCGAGTTCCTGATACGCAGGAAGGGATAAGACCCGTCGGAGGACAGTTGGGTTGCGGAAGCTGATATGGGCAACGCACGCCGTGCTCTCAAGGATTATCTTGTCGAGCAGGGTGTTTCTCACGCCACCCAGCTTTGAGGGGGGGACGTGTGAGAGTACGACGGCTTTGCTAGACTTTCCTCGCTTGATTCTGCTTTATTATGCATTATCTAGCTTAGCTTAATTCTATCTTGCATGCTTTTTGCTTGATTTCCTAGTTTCGTTGCTGAACTATAGTTATTATAGTTATAGGCACCGAACTAGGTTGAGTGCACCGGATTCTAGGCTCTTCGGTTGCCACCGAATTGCCTTCTACTGAATTCGGAAAGGACCCGTTCGGGACGCTTCGTGACCCGCGGAACCTTCTAATAACACCCGAGTTACTGCCTTTGTGTCGAGCCTTTTTATAGCCTTGCCTTGTACCAAGGTGAATCATTCAATAGATTTCTCTTTCCTGAACCAGATCCTCACATGCTAGGTGCCCGAAGTTTCTGCAGATTTTGCAGTAAAGGTGTCGCGGTCGTCTCTCTTCCGTGTTGTCCGCATAGAAGGCGAGGCGTTCCTGGTCTCGTCGCGGCGCTGGTCGCTGCTGGTCCATGTCTCTCTGTTTGACGAGAAGGGCGGCGCATAGGGCGGCTTCCGAGATAACCCCCTGCTGTCGGAGCAGCGCCTTGCAGGGCCGCCATTCTGGGCCGAGCCCTTGAAGCACGATGTTCACGAAGATTTCTTCGGAAATGCTGCTTCCCAACTTCGCGATTTGAGCGCGGAGGCTCCGACAGCGATTAATGTAGCTATTGGCCTTCTCCCCTGGGCCCATTTTTGTCTCCAGTAGCTGCTGGAGCAGGCGGCTCGATGAAACCGAATCCTTCGATTGGTAGACTCCGTTCAGATGTCGCTAGGCATCGAGGGCAGGAGCAGATGTTGTCTTGTACGATCGTATGCTTAGTTGCTCCACCGGCGACATGTTTCGCAGTAGGACGCCGTACAACATCAGTGACTCGTTGTAGTATTGAGCCCTGGCGTCAGCGGTGTCTTCAGTAGGTCCCGTGTAACTCCCGTCGAAATAGTGGAATATCTGTGTGCTTTGCAGCAGCAGCTCCAGCTCGAAGCTCCACGTATAGAAGTCTCTTTCGTCAAAACACACACTTGTCTTTATTTTTGATATGCTCAGGAACCTTGATTGAGCAGAGAGAATTGCTTCTTCGCTGGGACAGGGAGTCTTGGGAGTTGAGCCATTTGTTTCGAGGGAGAAGGTGTGCGGAGCGGTATTGTGGCCATTTGAGGCCGGTTGAGAGGGTTGGGAAGATGTTACCGCATCGCCATTCCGCAATGTTTGGAGTCCTTGCTCCAAGCTGGTGAGTCGTTGAAGCAGTTGCGCGAGGACGGCGGTTCCAATCGTCGTCGTTTCCTCGTTTTTCGCAGTCGGGTTGGGCTGCACTTCAGCGGTCAGATTCGTCTGACCTCCAGATCCTCTGGCCATCCTTACACGCGAGCGTGTGCCGAACGCCACCTTTCGATCGCCGGAGATTTCGGAGGTGGCAGTGCGAAGGATTCCTGAGTCTCTCTCATACCATGCTGCGATCAGAAGTTGATCATAACCAGGAACACCTCAGGAAGGTTTGCACACAACTAGGTAGTGGTGGTGGTGGGCCCTTGACCTCAAATCAGAGTGAATGTAAAACGATTGAGATGGATTAAAACATGCAAATACTGGCATATAAATAAGAGTACAAGGTGGAATACAAAACGACCTAGTTAGCCATGTACTCTAAGGGGTACATTCCCTTATTGCAGCGAAACCCAACCGTGCAACTCCAGACGGTTACGAACTTCTCAGGCAGAATCCTCGCCACTGCTGCTGCCTGATGATTTCTGCCCTGTCAGAATCAACTGTGCAGGAATGAGTGCATTGAGATGAAAGGGCAGTACAAGTAGTCCTAACCCTAGTTTGTTGTACCCCTTGTAGGCTAACCCACTATAACCTAGAGATAACACAAACATATAGTTTGACACACCCCCATAGGCTAAGTGGGAGATAGCAAACACAACAGACGGTCACAAGACCAGTCAAGCAAGAGAACAAAGCAAAGCAAAGCTCAGGGTGGATCTCAAGGACACCACACAATCTGAGCACAAGCAAGCGGCCACAAGGCCAGTTCACATACAGAGTTATAATAGCAAGGCAGTACACTGATCACAACCTAGCAAGAGTAAACATGCAGGTATAAAGATAGATATCAGTGTACAACAAGAGCAAGTCAAGCAACCAGCAGGTGAGGCAGAGTGGGCACAAGCCCAAGAGCAGTGCAGAAACGCTGATGATCACCAGACCCAAGGGCCTTGGTGAACACATCAGCAGTGTTGGCCCGAGAGGCCACGTAAGCAAGGCGCAGCTCCCACGCTGCTGCAGCTCACGCGCAAGGAAGTAGCGAAGAGCAATGTGCTTCGTTCTGTGCTCCAGTCTCTGCTCGCGACACAAGGCAAGCATTGCCTTGTTGTCGACGTACAGAACTGGAGGAGAACGAGGCCGCTCCCCCAAGTCGGTCAGCAGGTAGGTCAGCCAGCGTAGCTCCTGTGCAGCCATGGCCCCAGCGTAGATCTCGGCCTCGCAGCTGGAGCCAAGCACAGAAGAAGAACGAGTGGACCTCCACGAGACAGAACCAGAGCCAAGACTGAAGGTGTAACCCTGTGACGAACGCTGAGTCGCCTGGGCGTCGGCCCAAGAAGCGTCAGAGTGTCCTGTGAGTACCACTGAACCCCGTCCTCCAAGCACGAGCCCCATGCCCGATGTACTGCACAAGTAACGCAGTACCCTCTTCGCAGCATCAAAGTGCACCTTTCGGTGTTTACCGGGGGCCACGTAGCGAGCCAGGAGGCTGAGAGGGTACGCGAGATCAGATTGTGTGCACGTCATCAGGTACATGAGGCAACCCACAAGCTCTGGGTACGGACCACTCGGCTCTACGGACTCGTCCGAAGGTGGAGCTGAGAGCGAGTGACCGGTAGACAGAGGAGTGGGCTGTGGCGAGGAGTACTGGAAGCCGAAGCGCTGAAGGACCTGGTGCACCATGTGTGATTGAGTCAGGGTGATGGTGCGCCGTGCTCTGTCCCGGGTGATCTGCAAGCCAAGATAGCTCCGCAGCTCACCCAGGTCAGTGCAGCTGTGTCTCTCCTGCAGCTCCGCCTTCACTAGGGCCAGTGCCTCTGTGTCAGCAGTAGCAAAGACCAAGTCGTCGACGTACACGAGGATGTAGAACGCCGGCAGGGTAGTGTCAGTGCGCAGAAACAGCGACGGGTCAGCTGTCGAGGGAGCAAAACCAAGAGCCGCAAGTGTCGTCCTCAGTGTGTTGTGCCACTCGCGGGGCGCCTGACGCAGGCCGTACACTGGTCGCCGTAGGCTCCACTGGGTACCCTCAGGAAACGACCCAGTGAAGCCCTCTGGACGGCGCAGCCAGATGGCCTCGTGAAGGCTACCCTGCAAGAAAGCTGTCGAGAAGTCGAGGGAGTGCAGCTCGTAGTCACGCTGAGCTGCATCGTGTAGCAACACCCGAAGAGTGGTCATCTTCGGGGTGGGGGAGAAGGTCTGAAAGAAGTCGACCCCCTCACGCTGACTGAAGCCTCGAGCAACGTAACGTGCCTTGAAGGCAGGCGGAGAACCTGGCGGCCGCTTCACCCTGAAAATCCACATGCCACTGACAGTGTTCGCCCCACGTGGGGGAACCTCGTCGACGTAGGTGCCTGTGGACTTCCATGAAGCCATCTCTGCGTCCATGGCTGTCTGCCACTGAGAGGAGTACTCACCCAAGATCGCCTCTCTGTAAGAGCGCGGGGTGGGGATGTCAAGTGCATCCGGGTCTCCCTCAGGGGCAAGCAGCATGGTCGCGAGATGAGGTGCAGTGGCCGCAAGGCACTCCAGCTCCTCCTGCCTGTCCTCAAGAACGTCACAGCCAAGGGCAACCTCACCCCCGACGGACGGAGGACAGGCAGGGTCAGGGTCAGAAACGAGACTCGCAAGGTAGTCTAGGCGGTGCGCAGCAGCAAAGTCAACTAGCTCAGGGACTAAGGCAGACGCAGCAGGAGACGAGAACGTAGGGTCCGTCACAACTATAGCAAGCAAGCGAGTGACAGTCGGACTGGAAGCATGAGCAATGTCAGACGGAGGGTCAGCAACGTCAGGAAGAGAAGACGCAGGAGGTGACGGTAGGACAACACGCTGTGGAACAGAGGAAGGACGGAGTGTCATATCGTGAGTGCCTGGGACAGCCAGAGCACGAGGACGACGCACACGACGAACACGAGCAGGAACGGAAGCTCTAGTCTCAGGCTCTCGACGCTCAGGAGTGGAAGCACGAGTCTCAGGCTCTCGACGCTCGGTTAGGGACTCTGTCACAGCAGTGTAAGGAGCAGGAGCAGGCAGTGGGGAGTGAGGCAGTAGCTGTGGGAACAGTAATGGAGGAGTAGTACCAGCGACTGGGAACACAGTAGGAGCTGGCGGAAGACCGAGAAGGTGGCGAAGCGCACCAGCATGTCCAGCACCTCCAGTACCAGCAGTACCTCCAGCACTAGCAGCTCCAGCACCTCCAACACCTCTAGCACCAGCAGCACCTCCAGCACTAGCAGCTCCAGTACCTCCAGCACCAGCAGCACCTCCAGCACCTCCAGTACCTCCAGCACCTCCAGCACCAGCAGCACCTCCAGCACTAGCAGCTCCAGTACCTCCAGCACCAGCAGCAGCTCCAGTACCTCCAGCACTAGCAACACCTCCAGTACCTCCATGCCGAGCAGCTCTAGTACCTCCAGCACCAGCAGCACCTCTAGTACTAGCAGCTCCAGTACCTCCAGCACCTCCAGCACCTCCAGTACCTCCAAGACTAGCAGCTCCAGCACCTCCAGCACCAGCAGCAGCTCCAGTACCTCCAGCACCAGTAGCACCTCCAGTACCTCCAGGACAACCAACTCCAATACCTCCAACACCAGCAGCACCTCTAGTACCTCCAGCACCAGCAGCACCTCCAGCACCTCCAGCAGTACCTCCAGCACCTCCAGCACCAGCAGTACCTCCAGGACTAGTAGCTCCAGTACCTCCATCACCAGTAGCACCTCTAGTACCTCCAGCATCAGCAGCACCTCCAGCACCTCCAGCAATACCTCCAGCACCTCCAGCACCAGCAGTACCTCCAGGACTAGTAGCTCCAGCACCAGCAGGACCGTACCCTCCACCACCAGGACTGCCTCGCCAAACGATCCACGCACAACTCGCCTGCGGCGAGAGCGTCTCAAGTAGATCAGGCTGCGGTGGCTGTCCAGCTCCAGGACCTCCAACAGGGTCACCCACAGCTCCACCGCCACTAGGACTCACAGCACCCCCAGAGTCAGCACCCCCAGTCGCTGCACCCCCAGAACCCTCACCCTCTGTCTCAGCACCCCCAGGCTCAGCACCAGCAGTCTCAGCTCCAGAGTCCACAGCAGCAGGCTGCGGAGGCGGCGAAGACGGCCGAGGCGGAAAACCAGGGGGGGGTCTCCAAGCGTGGAGAGCGGCGAGCGGCCGCCGTGTCGTCAGCGGCGGGGTCACCCCCCTCAGCTAGGCCAGAGGAGTCAGAAGAGATCTCCAGAGGCTCAACCAAGGGGGGTGGGTCTACCTGAGACACACCTGAGGGAGCAGGACCCTGTGGGGGGAGGGGGTCTACCGGAGGGGGACTGGTACCAGGAAAAGAGGCGCGAGGGGGACCGGGTGGAAAGCGTGCGGATGTAGCCTGTAGAAACAGACAGACTCGTCAAAGGTGATGTCCTGGGAGGAGAAGACTCGACGCAAGCGCGGGTAGTAGAACTGCCACGGCGAGGCGTCGGTGGGGAAGCCAAGGAAGACGCAGCGGAGAGTGCGAGAGGAGAGCTTGCTCGCATTGGCATCGCGAACAAGGGAGAGCGCGCCCCAGACCCGAAACGCCGACGCATCTCCAACCTTCCCCGTCCACCGGAGTGTGGGCGAGGTCTCTGGCTCAAAGACACGGGGCCAGGGGTTGAGCTGATGCGTAGCGTATTGGACCGCAAACGGCCACAGAAAATGGGGAGCAGCCGCATGGATCATGGAGGTACGAACAACCTCCATGATCAAGCCAATGCGACGCTCAGCAATCCCATTCTGCTGAGGAGAGGCCGGAAGCGTGAACGTCTGGCGGATGCCCTCGTCTCGACAGAACTCCTCAAGGAGGTCGGAAGAGAACTCACCGCCCCTGTCAGAGTGCAGACGCAGGACTGGCAAGTCCCAACGAAACCGCTCGCGCAGCTGGCGACGAGTAGCACGGATCCAGGGGATCAAATCACCGCTGACGTCCGCCTTGCGTCGCAAGGGGAAGACAGTGGTGTAGCGTGTGTAGTCGTCAACAACCAGCAGGAAGTAGCACTCCTGGTCCGTTCCACCGACGGGGGCTTGGCCCCACACGTCCATGTGGAGAGTCTGTAGAGGAGCAGTGGTCGGAGGAAGCTCGGAGGAGTGAGGAGCGACGCGCTGCCGCCCCTCGACGCAGGGAAGGCACGGCGGTGCAGGCGAGTGCGGGAGGGAGGGCAGGGACCTGGGAAGGCCAGAGACAAGGAGACGGGAGTGCATGCTGCGGAGACGCGGCAGTGAGGGGTGACCGAGGCGGTGGTGCCAAAGGAGAGTCTGGTGGGAGAGTACCCGACACGAGCAAGACGCTCCAAGCTGACCAGACGTAGACACCCGACTCAACGCAGCCACCTGACCTGACTCAGCCACCTGTGCAGACGCAGTGGTCAGTGTGTACAGACTAGACACAGGCCGTCGAGTGAACGTAGCTAGGTGACGGCCAGTCCGGGAGCACGTACAGATCGCCACACGCCCTCCAGGAATAAAGGTATCAACCCAAACATCCTTAATGGCAGTGTTGCTCACCAAGTTCGTCGAGAACGTGGGGAGGTGGAGACCTGACAGAGAACCGGAGGGGACTGCCGGACACGGGAGGACAGTGGAGGCTCGCGCAACTACTGGGCCCCCAGTGGGGTCAGCCAGTGAGACTGGGACAGGTGTTGCGAGTGGTGTGACTGTGGTGCAATTACGAAAGAAGCAACGTGACGCTCCTGAGTCAAGCGTGAAAGTGTGCAAGGCCTCAGCTGAGGCAGGACCTGTGGCAGTAGACGCACTAGCACCTAGAGTGTCGGCAGAATCACGAGCACCTAGAGCTGCAGCAGACTCACCAGCACCTAGAGCGGCAGCAGACTCACTGGAACCGAGAACAGCAGCCTCTACACGACCAGAGACGCATCGCTGAGAACCACAGTCGCGAGGTCGCTGAGGACACATAAAATCAAAGCCTCCACCACCTGGACGAGCTCGCCGAATAACCCACTCACAAAGCTGCTGAGGGGTGGGGTCGTCCGGGAGAGGCAGGGACCGCTGCTGTCCACCCCTAGCCACTGCAACTGCTGCGATAGTGGCCATGACAGGCAGTGACGGTCAGTAGTAAGTCCAACACGTCCAGAACCAGCAGCACCTCCAGTTCTCCCGGCCGCACCTCCAGCACCTCCAGCAGCACCTCCACCAGCAGCAGCAGCAGGAGCAGCAGTAGGGCAGCAGCAGCAGCGCTTAGCAGCAGCAGCAGCTCATGCAGCAGCAGCAGCGCTTAGCAGCAGCAGCAGCTCATGCAGCAGTGGCGCGCTGGGCAGCAGGGCGCGCTGGCGCTTTTAGGGTTGCGGGGCGCGCTGGCGCGCTGGGCTGCGGGGCGCGCTGGCGCGCTGGGCTGCGGGGCGCACTGGCGCGCTGGGCTGCGGGGCGCGCTGGCGCGCTTAGGGCTGCGGGGCGCGCTGGCGCGCTTCGCAGTGGGGCGCCCTGGCGCGCTGGTGTGCTGGGCTGCGGGGCGCGCTGGCACGCTTAGCAGCGGGGCGCGCAGGCGCGCTGGGCTGCGGGGCGCGCTGGCGCGCTAGGCTGCAGGGCGCGCTGGCGCGCTTAGCAGCGGGGCGCGCTGGCGCGCTGGGCTGCGGGGCGCGCTGGGGCAGGAGCTGCTCGCGGGCAGAAGGGGCGCGCAGGGCAAGGGCTGCTCGTGGGCAGCAGGGGCTGCTCGCGGGCAGCAGGGGCGCTCGGGGCAGGGGCTGCTCGCGGGCAGCAGTGGCGCTCGAGGCAGGGGCTGCTCGCGGGCAGCAGTGGCGCTCGAGGCAGGGGCTGCTCGTGGGCAGCAGTGGCGCTCGAGGCAGGGGCTGCTCGCGGGCAGCAGTGGCGCTCGAGGCATGGGCTGCTCGCGGGCAGCAGTGGCGCACGGGGCAGATGTTGCACGCGGGCAGCAGGGGCGCGCGGAGCAGGGGCTGCTCGCGGGCAGCAGGGGCGCGCGTGACAGCAGGGCAGCGCGTTAGGGCAGGCTGTGCGAGTAGCTGCAGGGCAGCGTGACACTGTGCGAGAGGGCCGGACAGCGCAAGGGCGCTTCGGGCAGGAACTAGCGGAACGATCGGTGGGCCCTAAAAACCTAACAGGTTTCCTGCTCTGAATACCATGTCAGAATCAACTGTGCAGGAATGAGTGCATTGAGATGAAAGGGCAGTACAAGTAGTCCTAACCCTAATTTGTTGTACCCCTTGTAGGCTAACCTACTATAGCCTAGAGATAACACAGACATATAGTTTGACATGCCCTGACGGTCCAGATGCTTCGTAACCGTACGACACTTCGCGTCATTCCGCCTCTTCGTCTTCAACCTCGGTACTGCATACTTCGATTGCTACTGTCAGAAGTGCACAGTAACACTTCATCGTTTACTATTCGTAACAAAAAGAACTGGTTCACAACCAGTTCACTGCGGAATGTGCATGGCAGTATATCGTATTGTATGCGCGTGCATGTCGGATTTTGGAAGGACGAAAATTGAAGTCTGACATGGTCTTTGTGTCAAACTCTAAATCTGGCACTCTCAAAATATTAATATTTTCCTTTTTTAGTTCTCGATAGATATGGCACCAGCATGTATAGAAAGGAGTGGAATTGTATTTTCAAATACATGTCAGGGGGTCTCATAATGTCCACGGTAATTCTAAAAGATTTGTAGAATGTGCCTTGGGTCCTAAATACAGGGTGTTGAGGTATCATATCTTTGTATTACTCTAGCACTTACCTGTACGTTAGTGTAACTGTCTGGCGTGCGAATAATCTCGTGACTATTAGCATGATCTTCATCCCCTCCCCTCCCTGAATTGTGACTGATTTGGCGGCCAACATCGCTGGCAATGCTTTCAGTTTTGATGTAGGTCTACCCAGTTCTAAAGCAGCCAACTGTTGAGACAACCAGCAATGGGTTTCCATTCTGTACACCCCATTCACGCACAACATGATGTTTACGTCATACAACTACCAGATCACATGGTAACTCGCACCGCTACGTTTTGCGATTCGGCAAGTGTTGTTAGCGATGGATTTTCCAGCCACAGGAAAATCGCCACGTGTGCTCGGAACCTCCTCGTCAACCTCCTCGCTTTCCTGTCAACGCCTCTTTCGTTCCTCTTTCCTCCTCCTCGCATTTCTTCTCAGCACCCGTTTCGTCGCCTGCTCCTTCGCCAAACCTATTCGCGAACCCCTTCGCGAGCCATTCCATCGTCGCCTAACGGAAGACGACGGCCTCGGCGATCTTCATGAGAAGCTCGGCGCGCTATGGGACATGGCCAGCCGCCTATCGCTTAACGGGACCATCATTATCGCGTTGTCCAATTCAGGTGCGATGGTTCGCCACATTCTCCTTCCCGGCCCATTTCCCAGTATTCTGTTACCAGGTTACCGTAATCCCCCCTTCCCATGATACCCCTGTTTTCATCCTGCGACATGCTACCTCTCGCCTGTTTTCCTGCTCACTAACTTCCCTCGTGCTGTTACCCTATTACTCCGTCGCTGCGAAAAAATGTTGCTTCGTGCATGCTGCATCCCAGACCGTGTGACTGCATTGGTTACCCGCCTTTATGCTGGCCGGGGCTACTGTGGCAGCGTTCTTGACTTTTATGACAGCATTTTTTACTTGTATGGCAGCATGCTTGAATTTCATGGCAGCAAGCTTGAATTTCATGTCAGCATGCTTGACTTTTGAGGCATGTCAAAAGAAGATGGCAGCATGTGTGAAGCGCTGAGTGAGTGCAAGTGTGCTTGCCTTATGAGTCAACTAACATTTTTCATTCCCGCCGGGCAATGGCGACAAGTTGCTGAACGCCTACCTGCTGCATGAAGACTCTCTAGTTGCTCTCGTGTGTAGTGAGGCGGTTTTTGGGGTGCCTCAAATATCATCTTCCATTTCTTCTAGGTATTGGCGACAAGTTGCTGAAGACCCTGCCTGCTGCATCTGAAGACTCTCCAGTTGCTATCTCGCCCTCCTTTCCTGATCCTGTCTGTTACCTTGTTACCATGTTTCGTTTCCCCCCTATTGCCTTGTTTCCCTGCTCCTTGATTTCCCTGTTACCATGTTACTTTGTTCCCTTATGCCCCTGTTACCGTGTTACCTATGACCTCACCACCCGTGCGACCAGGTTTCGAGGACATGCTGGAGAGCTGGGTGCTGCATCTGGGTGCGTTGAGTCCACTGTTACCGTGTTACCCTATTATCCCACCATCACCATGCCACTGCAGGTTTCGAGGACATGCTGGAGAACTGGGTGCTGCATCTGGAGCGGGTGGGTCTGAGCCGCCACTTCATTCTCTTCGCAGCCGACAGCACAATCCTTCAGTTCGCCCAGTCTAAATGGCCTGGACAGGTGAGTCGTGGAGACGTGGCAGACTCCTGCACCTCAGGTTTGGGTGACAGACAGGGCGGGGGGAGTCAAGTGCATCTGGAGCGGGTGGGTCTGGGCCGCCACTTCATTCTCTTTGCAGCCGACAACATGCCCCGCCTGCGGCATGCTTGACCGTTCATTGCAAGAGCCGTATCAAACGGCATTCCATGTTTCGATGGATGTAACGGTTGCTTCCGTGTGGCGTAGCTCGCAACTGTTGCTTCTGAGAAATCTCACCAGCGGCAGTTTTGAGGCAAGGAGAAAGTGCATGTAGAGCCGACATCACACATGATCAAATCGGCCCAAATCCCCCCCTATAGCCTCCTCTCCCTCCCCTATAGCATCCTCTCTCTCATGCATTTCGACCTGAGCGGGCAGGGCAGCGAGTAGGAGGTAGTGGACGAGGAGGGGGCGTAACACATCAAAACTGCACAACGCAACCCCCCACCCCACCCATCCATCCATCCCCCTCGCCCTTCCTCATTCCCGCAGGCCATTCATCTGGACCTGACCGGGCAGTTCAATGATGAGGAGAGCGTGGATGTAAAGAAGGAGGTGGACATCATCTCAGCGCGCTTTGAGACGTCTCAAAGCCCCTCCCTCATTCCCCATTCCCTCCCGCCCACAGGCCATGCATCTGGACCTGAGCGGGCAGTTTCACGATGAGGAGAACGTGGATGTGAGGAAGGAGGTGGACATCAACTCAGCGGGGTTCTTCTTCAGCGTGGCTTTTGTGGCTTTTCTTTTCAACCTGCCGCTGCAGGCCATTCACCTGGATCTGACCGGGCAATTCAACGACGAGGAGAATGTGGATGTGAAGAAGGAGGTGGATATCAACTCAGCGGGGTTCTTCAGCGTGGCGTCCCACCGAGCAGTCTACATCCACCATCTGCTCTCCTTTGGCTTCTCAGTCCTCTACAGCGACGTAGACATCGCCTTCCTGCACAACCCCCTCCCCTTCTTCCAAAGACCCAATCCTCCCACTGATGTGTCTGCTTCTTCTTCTGCTGCTGCTGCTGCTGCTGCTGCTTCTGCTTCTTCTTCTGCTGCTGCTGCTTCTGCTGCTTCATCTTCTTCTGGTGCTGCTACTTCTGCTTCTGCTGCTGCTGCTGCTGCTGCTGCTGCTGCTGCTGCTGCTGCTGCTGACTCTGATACCAGCGGCTTGGATTTCGACATCTTTCTGAGCATCGATCGGTACAGAGAGCAGCCGTCGCCCTACACAGAGCCCGTCAATACAACCCTTCTCAACAAAGGGGGTCGCATCTACTGCACCTGCCTCCTCTTCTTCCGCCCCACTGCCGCCGCCAAGAGCCTCGTAGGCAACTGGGCGTTCCGGATAGCTAAGCTGGGCCGGAAGGGGGGGTTGGACCAGGCGCAGTTCAATCTAGTCATGCAGTGGATGTATCAGAGGGATGTGCTGCCGCGGATAGGTGTGCTGCCGCCGCTGCAGTTCCCCTCAGGGCATCTGATGCAGGAGCATTGGGAGGAGTTTGTGGGGGTGCGGCCGCGGGTGGTGATGGTGCATGCGAATTATGTCAAAGGGAAGGGCGCAAAGATCAATGCACTGAAGAAAGCGGGGTTGTGGTGGGTGAAGGAGCCAGGCAACGCGACGTCTGCTGCTGCTGCTGCTCCTGCTGCTTCTGCTGCTCCTGCTGCTTCTGCTGCTCCTGCTGCTCCTGCTGCTTCTGCTGCTTCTGGCGCGGCTGCTGCAAATGCTTCATCTGCAGCAGGGCTGGTTGAGGGGCAGGTGGGGCAGGAGAAAGGGCAGGGAGCAGCAGGTGGCACGGAGAAGGCGGCAGGCGAGGGAAGGGTTGAACCGAAAGGAGGAGGAGGGTTGCAGGACGAGGCGAAGGACGGAGAGCCAATCCTGCTGTTCCCAACGCCTAGGCCCCTTGAGAAGGCTGACAAGGCTGACAAGGCTGGCAAGGCTGGCATGGCTGAGGCTGCAGGGATGATGCTGGGGGTGCAGCAGAGTGAGAAGGGTGGCGCAAAGGGTGGGGACAAGGGGGAGGGGCAGGCACTGATAGGAGCGGCCGGTGGTGGAGGCAGTGGGGCAGGAGGGGAAGGGGATTGGGAGGCGCGGGTACTGGCGGCAGTGGAGCCGTGGGTGGGGGAGCATCTGAAGACGATGGAAGGGAAAGGGATGAACGTTGCTGCTGTCGGTGGCATGGCGGTCTTCACCGTTGCCTGCGATGGTGCGTGGATGGTGCGTGGATGGTGCGTGGATGGTGCGTGGATGGATGGTTGTAAGCGAGGTGGGTTTTAGCGAGGTGGGTTTCAAGTGATAACGAGTTGTTGCAAAGGATGTTGTTTTTGTTTGAATTGATGGTGAGTTGCTATAAGGGATGCTCTGTTTAAGAAGTGATGGTCAGGTGCTTGTATAAAGAGGCAGCAGCTGGTTATATATAATAAGGACGCCACATGAACTGGTTATAACCCGCTGGTTATTCCGCAGCTGGTTTGCCCGCATCAATCACATCCCTGCCTTTTATTTCCCAGCCTCCTGTTGCTGCCTCACCCATCCCTCCCCATGCCTGCTTTCCCACCATCGCCTCTCCCATTCCTTTCCCAGCCTCGTGTTGCTGCCTCACCCATCCCAAATTCCCTCCACATGCCTCATTCCGTAATGCCCCCACATTTCAGGCCAGGATGCCTTATTCCTCACCTGGTGGGCCCGCATGAACCACATCCCTTACCTTACCAGTTGCATGTCACTGATTCCCCACACCACCTTCCCCCTCCCTCCCCTCCCCTCCCACCCCTCAGGCTAGGGCGCCTTATTCCACACCTGGTGGGCACGCGTGAGCCACATCCCTTTGCCAGCCTCTTGCTCCTGCCTCACCCATCACTCCCTTTCCACTGCCTTATCCCCTGATCGCCCCCCTTCCCCCTCCCACCCCCCCCAATCTGTCAGGCCAGGATGCATTATTCCGCACCTGGTGGGCGCGCATGAACCGCATCCCTTTTCCCTTTCCAGCCTCGTGTCACTGATTCCCCGCCACCACCATCCCCCTCCCCCACCCCCCACCTGTCAGGCCAGGATGCCTTGTTCCGCACCTGGTGGGCGCGCATGAACCGCATCCCTCCTCTTACCACCCACTGATTCCCCACCTTCGCCCTCCCACCCCCCCCCATCTGTCAGGCCAGGATGCATTATTCCACACTTGGTGGGCGCGCATGAACCGCATCCCTTTGCTCGGGAGAGCTCTCCTCGCCTCCGTACCTCAGGTGAATCTTCTGTTCTGCCTCAGGTGAATCTTCTGTTGTGCCTCAGGTGATTCTTGTGCCTCAGGTGATTCTTGTGCCTCAGGTGATTCTTCTGCCTCAGGTGATTCTTGTGCCTCAGGTGATTCTTCTGCTTCAGGTGATTCTTCTGCCTCAGGCGATTCTTCTGCCTCAGGTGATTCTTCTGCCTCAGGTGATTCTTCTGCCTCAGGTGATTCTTCTGCCTCAGGTGATTCTTCTGCCTCAGGTGATTCTCCCATGAAATTCTCACAGCCCTCCCCGTGTCTTCCCCGTGTCTTCCCCCCCTAGGTGATGCACATGCCAGGGGGCCACACAGTAGAGCGACCCAAGGGGAGCACACCCCTTTGAGTGATTCCTGCAGCGTATTGACCCGACTCAGCTATCTCTCCTGCCTTTTTCCTGTCTCTGTGTCTCCCCACCTAAGGTGATGCGCATGCCAGGGGGCACACGGTGGAGCAACCCAAGGAGCGGACGTCCCTGCAAGTGGCCGCAGCTTTTCGAGTCGACTCAATAATATCCCGTGGAATTCCTCATCGTCCTCCCTTTGTCTTACCCTTCGTCTCTCCCCTAAGGTGATGCGCATGCCAGGGGGCACACGGTGGAGCAACCCAAGGAGCGGACGTCCCTGCAAGTGGCCGCAGCCTTTTGACCCTACTCAACCACCTCCCGAGAAAAAACTCACAGCCGTCCCCGTGTCTTCCCCGTGTCTTCCCCGTGTCTTCCCCGTGTTTCCCGTAAAGGTGATGCGCATGCCAGGGGGGCACACAGTAGACCGACCCAAGGAGAGGACGTCCCTGCAAGTGGCCGCAGCTACATGCCTGCTGCTGCCGCCGCTCATCATCGCCCGCTTGCTTGCTGCCAACGTGACCGCCGTCTACAGGTACAGTGTACAGTGCGTAGTTCTCATTATATTATGATCGCCTTCCCTCATGCCTGCTGCTGCCGCCCCTCATCATCGCCCGCCTGCTGGCTGCCAATGTGACCGCCGTCTACAGGTACAGTGCACAGTGCAGTGAGCAATGCATAGTGCTGCTACAGCTACAGGTACACTGAGCAATACACAGTGCTGTCAATTATAAGCACCTCATTGGCCCCTCATCATCGCTCGCATGCTGGCTGCCAACGTCACCGCCGTCTACAGGTACAGTGCGCAGTGCTTGCAGAGAGCATTTCAGAGAGCAGAGCAGAGAGCAGAGCAGAGAGCAGAGCAGAGAGCAACTCGCTTCCCTCCCCCATGCGCCCTGCCCTCCTCCCAGTGACACCAACTCGCTGTGGCTGCGTGACGCCCGCTCCTACTCTCGTATTTCCTCAATTCCCCCCTCAATCTCCCCGCGTTGTCCTTCCCCCCCCCCCCCCCCTGTCCTCCCAGCGACATCAACTCGCTGTGGCTGCGTGACGCCCGCTCCTACTTCCTGCCAACCTACTCCCTCGTGCTGCCCTCCCTCTCCCACCGAGACCCGCAGCAGCAGCAGCAGCAGCAGCAGCCAGCGACAGCAGCAGCGCAAGGGGCACAAAGGACAGCAGAGAACGGGCCAGGAGAGAAAGCAGAGAGCAGCAAGGGGGGTGAGGGTGGCGGCAGCAGGCAGCAGGAGGCAGCAGCCCCTGCACCTGCCAACAACACCATCGCCCTCATGCCGTCCCTTCTAGGGTCCCTCTCTCCATGGCTCATGGCTCTTCGCCCCTCCCCTGCTGTGCAAGCCATGGTGCACCGCTGGGCACTCAGGGCTTTAAGAGATTGTAAGAATGCAGAAGCAGCAGAAGCTGCGGGTGGTTCGGGGTTTTTTTCTGGTTCGGAGATTCTGAAAAGGGCGCTCAACCATGCCGTGGCTGAGATGGTTCGGGAAGCGGGGCTTGTGGGAGCGGAGGAGATTGGGTTGGGTGAAGGTTCGGGTTTGGCAGGAGGCATGGATGCAGGTACGGGAGCAGGCATGGATGCAGGTCCGGGAGCAGGCACAAGTCCAGGGCAAGGAGCAAGCGTGGGGGTGCTTCCAGAGCAGCTATTCCCACCTGGGTGGAGGGCGGTGGGGGATAGGGCATGGCTGGAGGCGCATAGGAATGAGATAGTGGCCGTGCAGGTGAGCTGTGGGGAGGACAGCCAGGTGCAAGAGATGTGTATTCGAGACTTGACGCTGTGGTTGTAAATTTACTTGTAATTATTCTAGCAGTGGTTTTTTTTCTCTGCTGCAGTGGTATTTCTGCAGCCTGCAAAGTTTTCAGCAAGTTCTTGCCTATTGCATTAGTACAGTACTATCATGCGCTGAGCTTCCTATAACCTGTGGTAACTGTTTTGCTTGATACCATACCTGCGAGATCACTATACAAGCACCGCATTGCAACCGAACCACTGTGAAGTGAATACTCTAGCCTACCATCCTGCAACATTATATTTTTTAAACACACATTGTGCTTTTTAAAATTGTGTATTGTGAAAGCGAAGCTGCTTGTACTGCACAATTGGCATCATCGAAGCGCGCTAAACGCCCTTCTCCAACTACAAAAACTGTGGGTTGGAGTTCATTTCCCTCCACCCACGTTTCTCGATTTTCAAATGGCTCACTCAACATTTCCGCTCGAGTAGTTTTTCCCTCCAAGCTGGCTATGATTAAATCGCTTCCTAGAGGCGAGTCACCCTCTACTTTACTCAGCGACATTTTCAACTTCAATCGCTCAACGATGGCACCTACGCCGACACTTAGGGTACATTCCGCTGTGGACATTTTCTCAAAGGAAGTGTTTGAATCGATTGTGACGCGTACGTACAGCATATGCAACCAGGTGTCAGAAATCCGCGCCGCACGTGTTTGTCGCCAAACGTATTTATCATTGGGTGACGTGAAATACGGAACAGTCGCCAGCTAATTGCACGCCAGCGCAACACTTTTCATCTATCGCATGCAGTGCCAAATGTCAAAACATGCTGCATGTATCTGGACAACATCCCAAAGACCCGGCGATCCCCATCAACGCGTACACTGGAGTCTGATTGGTTGACGGGACTCGTCCGGAATTATTGACAGGGCCCCGCAATTCCCGCCAGCGCACTTTCCCCCCAAGTCCTATGCTCTTTCCCCACAATTCCTTCTCCTCCAAACACACCACGGGCTTTTGTAGGTGCACCGTCTATCCTGTCCCATTCAATCTTCTTCGCGTTGCAATCTATCCCTTCAGATCTAGATCTACGTACACCCGCGTCGCCAGCATGGCTCGTAAGCGTAAGGGCCAGTCCCTTAACGACTGCCCCAAGGATCTTAACGACATCCCTTACATCCGCTGGATGAACCAGCAGATCGCCAACGGCCGTCATCCGACTGGCTTGTCCGCGCCGCCCGCGCTTGACGGGCAGGGTTCTGGTGCACAGTCGCCCAGCGCGGGCCCCTCACGTGTGCGTCGTCAGCCTGCAAGGACGGCGGCAACTGTGCGGCCCGTCATGGAGCAGGAAGTCGACGACGATGATGAGGAGTACCGCGGCGACGAGGAGGACGAGCCTGAGGACCTTGGGATGTCGGACGACGATGACGACGACGATGACGGCGACGATGACGACGCCGACGACGACGCGGAGGAGGAAGCGCAACCTGTTGCACAGCCGCCGAAACGGGGCGCCGCTCGCGCCTTAGGGACGGACAAAGGCAAAGGCAAGGCGGTTGATCCACCGCCACGACAGGAGCCCCGGAAGAAGCGGTCTGCTGCACCAGTCAAAAGGGGCTTATGGGCGGATAAGGAAAGCGCTATCTTCGCCGCCGCGCGTTGGTTCATGAAAGACGAGCTCGAGCCGCTCAAGGGGTCGAACCCGGGTTGGTGCCAGAATGTCAACGCGTTGCAAAAGCAGTGGCGCAACCTGATGCTGCTTTGGCAGGAGTACAAGCGTGGTGATGGTGGTTCGGGCAACGGTTATGTGGAGAAACCGCCATGGTGGCCGTATCTGGAGCTGTTCAACAAGGACACCGCCGCTGCCGCACCGCATGCGGTGGATGGCGGCGGCGCCACTAACGTCAACGTGCCGGCCGGCATGGAGGTCCCAAGTGCCTCTCAGCTAGAGATGTCGACACCGACCTTTACAGGTGAGGTGTGATTCTTAAACCGCATGCGCTTTCCGCTCTCGTTTCATGGATGTTCAAAAAGGGCAACGCGTAAGTGACTTGCAACTAACTGCATAAACAACATGCAACCTTATACGTGCTAATCTACCTAGCAATTGTTTATGCGTTTCTGTTACAGCACCGCCGCCTCAGCCCACGGGAACACCCAAGCGCGCGCGGGTTCATGAAACGGCTACTATGCAAGCCGCCATGCTTGTCTCCGCGACCATCAAAGATTGTCACGGTGACGCGATGACGCGCATAGAGGGTCTCGTCCGTGAATGGATGGCGCAGGACATGCGCCTTGCACGCGAGCGCATGACTGAATCGGCCCCACCGGATGTGCACCGTGCGACGACGGATTTCAGCCCTCCTCCGCCACGCGGGGAGTCCGCGCCACCCCCCGGAGCCGCCCAGCCGCGCGACGATGTTGGCGACGTCAACCCACAGCGCATGGCGTTGCCGCCGTACTCTGGCTCGGTGACGGCGGTTCTCCCCGGTATCGTCCCCAAGAGAAGAGGACCGCTCGTCGGCGTCTTCGAGCACACCGGCATCAATCATGCCGACGAAGGACTTGGCAACACTTTCGTAAAAAATGGTGTAGTAGTAGGTGACCCATGCGACGAGTAGGCGTAGGATGAAGGGGATGGCTCTAGGCTCCGCCATTTTGCGTATCTCATGCGTGTGTAGTGGTGGCGGTTGTGGTTTGTTTACTTTATCTAGCCATTCTTTGTGATGTGGAGCTGGATATTGTACGGCTCGTTGTGGCAATTATTGGAGGCGCGGAAAATTACACAACCCCCCGCGGCCTCCCCGGACACCACCAAGGTTCTATTGCGGGCCTGGTGGTGTTGGTGCGTGTGACTCGCAAGATGAGTGGGCCACCATATGGTCTGACCAATCAGAGTAGTTCGCATATAATTGTCGCGCGTCTGTGCAGAGTCGCAATACATCGAATCATTGGGACATGCAGCCCCGAGACATTTGAGGGCGACTCGGGCCAAATGTGATTGGGACACTTTCTTTGAGAAAGTGTCCATAGCGGAATGTACCCTTAACAACGGGAACTCGTCAACTCCCGCTTCCGACTCCGACCGTAACGCCCGCGATTCTACGAGAACGCCGTAACAAGCGACGGGCAGAAGATGGACCGTCCGCCCCGACTGCAGTGGACGTGCTGCTGGGCGGGCTCGAGGTCAACAGAAACGCCGAAACCCAGCAGCACCCTTCGGCGCCTGTGGCGCCAGTGGCACCTGTGGAGCAAGTGGCGACGGCAGCTGGCGCGGCACACGCGACTGATGCCGAGCACACGCCAGCCCCCGCGGCTGGACCGTCGCGTCAGCGCCAGAGGAGGCAGACTGCAGTCTCCTCGTCTGACGCGACCGCCGCCCCTGCGCTGACGCAGGCGTTGACCCCGGACCAGGTCAACGCGCTGCTGTCCCTTCTACATCAGCAGCCCGTCAGCATTACAGCCGCGGAAACTGCACTACCTGCTGCATCTGCATCGGCTAAAAAAGAAACTGCAAAAAAAGAAAAAGGCACGCGAGGAGCACGGACGAACCGGCATGACAACGACGCAGCGACCGCCGCTCCCCCTGCTCCAGCGGTCGACAACGACACCGACGACTCTGAAGATGAAGCCGGTGAGGCCCCAGTCAACAATGCTAATTTTATTGGCACGGAACACCTCCCCCCCCCTCCCTTCTTCTAACCTTACCTTCTCGGCGGCGACCTTCGTCAACGACTCCGTGCGAGAGCAAGCCGAGCTGCTGGAGGACCTGCGGGCGTACGTGCTACACGCCGAATACAAGGCGCAGCGCGACGATCCGGCGGGCGGACTTGAACTCATCTCACACGCTCTCAACCTCATCTCGGGGCGTTTCGAGGTGCTTCAAGTGGAGGACGCCTCCGACTTCCGCACGGCGAAGCACTTCAAGTTGTACCAGCAGAAGAGCCTGCTGACTTCTCGACCCCTCAAGCAGGCGGTCGCGGACATGGCGGCGATGGACCGTGCGGCAAGCGGATACGCTCGTGTCAACCGCGGCGGAAACAACGCGCCGATGCCGTTCTTACCCAAGCGGGGCCCCCCGCCCACGGCCAATTGCCGTGGGTTCCGGGGCTCGTGTTTCTGCTGCGGCCAGCCGGGCCACGTGGCAAGTGCCTGCCCTCGGAACGGGCATGGCGGCCAGGGACCCGCTCCGGTGGTGTAGGAGCGGGCGATGGGACTAGGCGCTTGGGCGCTAGGCACGGTGCACTCTTGAGTGCGAAAACCGTGGGCAACCCTAGGGGTTTGCGATGGCAAGAGGCCAGCCCTAGTGAAGGGTGGGAATAGGCTTTGGGCCTAGGATAGGGAAGGGGAACAACAACCCCTCGGTCCCATGTGTTTGGCCACCCGGTGGCATGATGCATGCTAGGAAAGCATTGCTATGTGTGTTGGTTGATTTAATAAAAACTACCTTCTTAAAGGCCTATTGTTTTGGCAAAGAGACTCTAAAAAATCAAGAGGAGGAGCAGAGAGAGAGAGAAAGAGAGAGAGATAGAGAGAGACCTAATCAGTGGACTCCACCCCCAGCATGCCATGCTCCTCCTCTCCCGCTGCATCTCGAGGAGAGCGTCGTACCTGCTTCGCACGACGCCGGCCGGCCTAATATCGCTGGCGGAATGGCGCGACTGGAGCGAGCGACTGCTCCAGGCGGTCTTCCGAGCGGCACACCTCTACCTGCCGGTGGACGAGATGGAGCAGAGCCTCCTGTGGCGCCAGGCGACACTACCGGTAGCCTTAGGAGGCCTGGGCCTGATAGACCCGCTCTCCGAAGCCCCAGCAGCTTACCTTGCGTCCTTGACGGCGGCCCACGCACTCCTACGGCAGCTCCCCCTGGCGCCAGGCAACCCCATAATCAGTACAGCACGGCTCGTGTCTCCGGAGCCAGGGGAACAGAGGCCCAACGGAGAGGACATCCGAAGGGACATGTGGGTGCGCCTACCAGCCTCGGCTCAAGCGGCACTACGGGCATACCTCGAGCGAGATGACGGGAAGGGACACCTGCAGCTGATTCTGTCACGGCACATCAACACAGAACGGGCGGCGGAACTCCTGGGGGACACAAGGGTGGACAAACCGGGCGCAGACAATGGCCACGTCCTACGTCTGCTGAGCCTCCAAGGAGCAGGCGCGGGGGATTGGCTGCATGCCATACCAACGCGGGCGGACCTTACCTTCTCCCCGGGGCAGTTCGCGCTAGCGATAGGCCTCCGCCTCGGACTCACTCTGGCAGTGACAGACAACTGCCCTTGCCGGGGGAGGAGGGCGAAGATAGGGGACAGAAGCCTCCCGAACCACCTGCTGAGGTGTGCGGAAGGGGGAGACCGCACAACAACACATAACGCACTGGTATACTCTGCCCTCCGCATGGCAAGGGAAGCGGACTTCCTTACCTTGCACGAATCGGCCATTTTCAGCCCCATAACCAACCAAAAACGGGCGGATTTGATCATTCGTGACAAGGAGTCAGGAGAGACATCGGTGGTGGACGTGACTGTGACGGACCCAGTGCTACAACGTCGGGACAAGCAAGCGGTGAAGCCGCCGGGATGGGCGGTGGAGGAGGCAGCGAGGACAAAACACGGCATGTACACAGGAAGGCCGGGGTGGGTGGGATGCTTCGGCATGGCGGTGGAATCGTACGGGGCAATGGCGAAGGATACGCAGCGATTTTTCAGGCTCCTGGGCACGACAGGAGCCAAGAAGAGGTACAGACAGGGGAGGTCAACCGCGGTTGCCTCTAGGCTCACCGCCCATTACCGACAGCGTTGGTCGGTGCTCCTCCAACGCTGCCAAGCCAACGCCCTGCTCGCCAAGTCGAACAGGGCAGCGGAGGCAGCATACCCTCAGGGCCCCTCTGACCCGTGGGAGCCTCAGCTGGGGGACCTGTGGCAGGTCCTGGAGGACGGGTACGTCCAGGACTGGAGCTGGGGAGAGTAAAGGCCTGAGAGGCCGATGAGGTGGCAAGGGTAGCCTGCGGCTGGGTGGATGGCCCTACAAGTGGATAGGGGGCTTGGGTGGTTTGTCTAGGACTAAGGCCACGAGTCAAAGGCCATGCATGATTGCTTGCTTAGGATGGATGCTTGTTCATATCCTAGGGTTGCTTGCATGCTTGCCAGGACTAGCTCTCACCCTGCTTGTACCCTCCTTTACATCAATGAAGGACCGCTTGAGAGAGAGAGAGAGAGAGAGAGAGAGAGAGAGAGAGAGAGAGAGAGAGAGAGAGAGAGAGAGAGAGAGAGAAAGAGAGAGAGAGAGAGAGATAGAGAGAGAGAGAGAGAGAGAGAGAGAGAGAGAGAGAGAGAGAGAGAGAGAGAGAGAGAGAGAGGGAGTGGGGGGGGAGAAGGGTGGGAGGGGGGCTGGTGGTGGGGACGGGCTGATGGTGGTAAGAGAATGGACAATGGACAGGTGTGTCCATGGCCCTGGGCATCAGCCCCCATGCACTAAGGGCAGGCACAACCATGTCCTGCCGAGTGGACGACGGGGCGAGTGTAAAAAAAAAAAAAAAAAAAAAAAAAAAAACGAGGAGAAGAAGCGCCGTTTCTCTCCCGACACAGTCGTTGACACTAATTTGATTGTTAATTCTCTTCACACCTTCAATCAATGGTTGCCCGTACATGTGCATGCACACGCATGCTTTAACATGGAATACTCAACCCTTATACCACTTGGCCTCAAATGTACAGGAGCACGACGGTGCGAGGCGGCATGCTACGACGATCCGTACAAATTTGCCGTTACAGACAGAACTATTACACAGATGCGCGGTCGTCTTCGCGCGACCTTTGCGTGGTGGAGCTCATGGTGCACTAGCAGCCTCGTCCCCTCCGTCATCGCCAAGGGATACTGGTTGCCATGGAGCCACGACCCACCACAACAATTCCACGATCGCAATCATGTCAGGGCAAACACGCATGCCACGTTCACACGTACCGCCATCCAAGAACTCATAGAGACGGGAGCAGCAGTTCCGATGGCCGCAACGGAGCTTACGTGCATAAGTCCACTCAACGTGGTCGAGCAAAAAGACAAATGCAGGCTCATTCTTGATTTGAGGAAAGTCAACGCCAACTTGATTGTCCCCAAGTTCAAGAACGAAGGGCTCAGCCGTGTCGCCGACCTGGCGCGCGTTGGGGACTGGATGTTCTCCATTGACCTCAAATCTGGTTACCACCACATCGACATCCACCCATCGTGCTGGAAGTTCCTTGGCTTTGAATTTGACAGGGGCACATACGCATTTCGTTCCCTACCATTCGGCCTCGCGACAGCTCCATTCGTTTTCACGCAGCTCATCCAGCAACTAGCTCAGCGTTGGCGAGAACAAGGCATCCGAGTCGTACCTTACGTGGACGACATCTTATTTCTCTGCCAGTCGAAATCCGACGCGCAAGCAATTTGCCAGCGGGTGATATTGGACCTTAAAGAGGCAGGCCTTGTGATAAACGCGAAGAAATCACAACTGTCACCATCGCAACGTCTCCGATTCCTGGGCGTAGAACTCGAGACCGATACCGGCCGATTCTCCATCGGTCCCGACTGACGAGCCTCACTACATGCAACCATCCGGAACCTCCTGAGCGCAAGCAAGGCATGCCGACCAGTCCCGGTCCGCCACGTGGCCAGAATCACTGGCATGCTCGCATCGATGGGTGTCGCACTTGGCGCGACCGCTCGCGCATTCAGCCACGCTATGTTACAAGTGATCAACGACGCACCGTCATGGAAAAGCAGCGTGGTTATTGTGAAGATAGTGTGTAGAGTTAGGAGCCATAGCTAGGTAAGTCCTAGCTAGGCAAGAGAAGTTTAGGCAAAAGAGGGGGGGTTCACTAGCAGCAATGAGGATACATATAGCAAACCCTAGATGGGTTGTACTCGCTATAGAGCACCCCACTACAGGCTAGAGAATAACATTCTGACACACCCCCATAGCCAAAGTGGGGTGTAATCAGTACAATGAGCAAGCAGGTATAGAGCAGGAGTTCACAAAGGTAAGCAAAGCTAGAGCTAATCACAGCGGGCAAGTGAGGAGGAGGAGGAGCTGTGGAGGAAGAGAAGATGGGAGGCAACGACTGAAGCTGCAGAGGCACGGGCACAGGAGCGGCTGACTCAGAGGCTACCGAAGCAAGGGCGACGGACTACTGGAGTAACTGGCTCGGCGGCTATAGAAGAGCGGCAGGAGCAACGGACCCACTGGCGACTGGTGCAGCAGGCTCACTGGCTACCGAAGCAAGGGCGACGGACTACAGGCGCTGCAGGCGACACGACAGGTACCTCCACACAACCTCCTCCAACTGCCCCACACCCTCGACACACACCCACTGCTCAAACCCTAGCTCCACTCCCACGCACCCCCCTAAAACCCTAAACCCCAGTCTCCCACTCATCCACCCCCCTCAGCGACAGCTGCAGCAGTGGGAGACAAAGGAGGAGGAGGAGAAGGGCACGGCGCGCACAACGGACACCCCCACAACCACCACCCCCACACTCCTCACCCCCAAACCCTAAAACGGGTGGGATAGGGGCAGGAGCGCGGGGGACGGAGAGGGGGGGGAAGGCGCGCGCCTCTAGGGCGCCAGAACGGACGGGTGGGGCGAGGGAAGGGGCGTGGCGCGCGCTGCTCCCCTGGGCGCCGCGACGGACGGGCGGGGGGGACGCGCGCGCGGCTCCCTAGGGCGCCGCGACGGCCTGGCGGGGCGCGCGCGGCCTCCCGAGGGCGCCGCGACGAGCTGACGGGGCGCGCGCGGCCTCCCCAGGGCGTCGCGGCGACCACGCAGGGCGCCCGCTGGCTCCCCAGTGCGTCGCGACCGACGGGCGGGGCGCTCGCGGGCTCCCGAGGGCGTCGCGACGGACGGACGGGGGGCTCGCGGGCTCCCCAGCGCGCCGCGACGGGCAGGGTGGGGGGCCGCGCGTGCTCCCCAGGGCTCCGCGACGGACGGGCGGGGCGCGCGCTGGCTCCCCCACAGCAGTAAACCGCCACGCGCCTCGGGGCGCACGGCGGGCAGAAAACCGCCGCGCGCCCCGAGCGCGCGGCGGGATGAAAAATAAGAGGCCGCGCACCACGGGGCGCGCGACACAGCATAGGGCAGCGGAAGCAGTAGGAGGGCCCACAGGCCAGGAGCGTATGTGCTCTGATTCCATATGAAGATAGTGTGTAGAGTTAGGAGCCATAGCTAGGTAAGTCCTAGCTAGGCAAGAGAAGTTTAGGCAAAAGAGGGGGGGTTCACTAGCAGCAATGAGGATACATATAGCAAACCCTAGATGGGTTGTACTCGCTATAGAGCACCCCACTACAGGCTAGAGAATAACATTCTGACAGTTATCCCCCCATCTGCAGCAGAGGAGCTCCATTTTTTGCTCGAGGAGTTTGACCATTTCAACGGCGCACCTTTTCACGTCAGGAACAGCTACCATGCGGTAATCCATGTGGATGCCAGCTCTCATGGTTGGGGCGCCACTCTGACCACATTTCCGGTCGGCCTCGAAGAAGCTAGCGCAACCATATCAGAGCCGCTACGAGGAACGTCCAGCACGCGACGGGAGATCGAAGGCGTCCTTTGGGCGCTCCAAACGTACGTGAACAAGATCAAGCAAAAACACGTTCTCGTGCGGGTGGACAACCAGGGCGTATTCTTCATCCCTCGCAAAGGCGGCGCTCACAGCCCCGACCTCACAACGGCATGCAAGAGCATCATCTGAACATGCATGGAGCTCGGCACGCGCTTGATCATTGAATTGATTCCGCGCGAGCTCAACACACACGCCGACGAGCTTTCAAAAATGGTCGACCACGACGATTACTCGTTGAAAACGCCGTGGTTCCGCATCTTGGAAAGTCGCTGGGGTCCTCACTCCATCGACCTCTTCGCAAACTCCCGCAACACCCAACTGCCGCGCTTCTGCACAAAGATTCCCCACCCGAAAGCCATCGCAGTTGATGCGTTCTCGATCGCGTGGACACCCGAAAACAACTTCGCCTTCCCCCCGCCCCAACTGGTCCCAGCCGTCCACCATCACGCACAACGCACCCATGCATCACTCACACTGATAGTTCCGCACTGGCCAGGCGCAAGCTGGTGGCCACTTTTGCAACCCTCCCCATGCACTTGGGCTCCACACATCCACGCGCACATCCCTCTGACACAGGAAGCCAATGCCTAGACGCAGGGTCCCATTCCACTGCTTTTTCGGGCATTGGACAACCGCACAGCCCAATTATTGCACTGCGAGTGGCATTTGACTAACTCAAAATGTCTACGCCTTGTGTTCAGATTTGCTCCCAAAGTTACACGACCAACTGATTAACATGCTCGCGCAGTCCCGCGCCGATTCTACGATCCGGACATACGAACCATACTGGGCCAAGTTTCGAGCCTTCTGCACAAAAGTGAACCTCCCATTTCTTCCGGCATCCGACATGACCCTCGTGCTCTACCTGGTACACGCAATCCGACGCAAAGCCACCCTGTCCGTAGTGCAGCTGACGTGCTCGGCGGTCAGCTTCACTCATCGCATGACTGGGAGCAAATGCCCGACAACCGGACCGTTCACCACCCAAGTCCGTGACTGTGCAAAATGACACTGCCCTCGCCCTACTCGCCTGAAGGAACCCGTATCGATCCAACACGTCCGGGACATGGCCGCGAGTTACTTGCAGTCCGACGATTCTGCGAAATTTCAGAAAGGGTTGATCCCCATCCTCATGTACTCAGGATTCCTGCGATACTCTGACCTAGTAGCCATAAAATGGCAAGACATCCAATTCGACGACGATGTCATGTGGATTCTCATACCACACTCCAAGACCGATCAAGCTGGTCATGGAACTTGGATACCCATTGCAGCAACGGCGGACCCCTGTTGCCCAGTGCGCTGCACCCGACGCTTCATCCGACTCGCCGGCTATGGCCCACGGTCAGAGGGACCACTGATTCGTGTCTTCGGCCACGCTTCAACCAGCGAGGGCCAGGGGAGGCCACCTTCATACACTACAATCCGGAACTGGTGCAAGGAAGCCTTCGCAAAGGTTGGCCTTGGAGAGCTGCAGCTAGGCACCCATTCTTTCCGAAAAGGTGCAGCCACAGTAGCAGCCAACACGGGAGTGCCAGACAAAGTCTTCAAACGGCTGGGCAGATGGCGAAGCTACTCAGCAAAGGAAATGTATGTTACGCCATACGTCGAGCCTCTTATCGAAGCCTCCCGTACCCTACAAGATCCGACGCATGCGGTGTCATCGGCACAACACACAGAGGCACTCGTACGCAACCGGAGGCCCCCGTTGCCCATGTCTTAGAGACCCCATTTGTAATAAGAACGATGCCAATTGATAAGAATAAGAAAGCAAGCTTTCTCAATATTATATTTTTTAAACACACATTGTGTTTTTTAAAATTGTGTATTGTGAAAGCGAAGCTGCTTGTTCTGCACAATTGGCATCGTCGAAGCGCGCTAAACGCCCTTCAACTACAAAAACCGTGGGTTGGAGTTCATTTCCCTCCACCCACGTTTCTCGATTTTCAAACGGCTCACTCAACATCCCCACCACCCACCCCAGAGACCATGAATGAGCATGGATGGTGAGCATGGACATTCAGTGAGCAATTTACTCTGGGGTGGGTGGTGGGGATGGTGAGCATGGACATTCATGCTCATTCATGGAGCATGTCCATGCTCATTCATGCTTCATCCCCAGCACCAGCATTCACTCACTGAATGTCCATGCACAAGTGTTCAAGTCCTTGTCAGGGTCAGGTTTTGCATTGCCTTCAACTAGAATATGTTTTTTTCACTTGTATTAATTGAGTAGTGATTTGTTCGTGCCGATGTGTTTACCATGTGGTCATTGTGTTTCTCATTTACAGCTGTAGTTTCAGGAAGAATGGGGAAAATGTTTATCGTTACCAGTAACGAGCCGCGTGCTTATCGAGGTTGCGAAATCCACCCCCACCAACCAACCATTCAAAGGGTCCCCACACAACGACCCCAACCAATGGCATGCCACGCCACGCCACCTACCACATCACCTGCCACCACCACGCACACATACACGTATCTCATCTCATTCATCCTCCCTCAGCCAATTCTTCGGTTTTGTCCTTGATCCTTCTGCCTGACTTCAGTCTTTCATTCTGTCAACTGAAACTATATTACAGTGACAATCAGCGGCCGGCAATGTGTTGCTGTTGTTGCTTCTACTGAGAGAAAATGCGTGTGCTGTTTACCCCGTGAAACGAGTCAATTCGCCAAGCATGGCGGCTTCAGCGCGAGTTCTCCCGCAGCGATGGCATTGCTCAGCGCTGCATGTGTTACTCATCACGACCACCTTACTGGCGTTCTCGTTTGCCGTCGATAGCAGAGCTGGTACGCTGCGCTTTTGACCCTTTCCACATTATCCGATCCGATGCGCCCTTCAACATCATTTAGAAACTCTCCAAGATTCGCATATGACGACTTTTGAGTTGACTCAAAAGCCGCCGTGTTGGCGTTCTCGATTGCAGTCGTTAGCAGATCTGGTGCGCTTTTGACATCATCCGGTGCGCCCTCCCGCATCATCTAGACACTCTACGGGATTCGCAAATGGCGTCAGGAGAATGCTCCCCATCGCAAATTGCATCATGTAGTTACTTCCAGAATGCGTGCGCTGCCTAACCGAAATCGTAGTTTGAGGCGCCTCAAAACGAAAATGCTCCCTCATTGCAAATTGCATCATTTGGACACTTTCAGAATGCGTGTGCTTCACCATGTTCATTACTCCGTCCGTAGTCACTCCGCGTCGTCTGCTCATACTTACTCCGTTTTGCGTCACCGGAATTCCGTCCAGCGCGCCGGTACTTCAGCGCACCCACGCTCTGCAGTTTCTGCTTTTTCCAGACTTTTTAAAGCCTAAAATGCTCCGATGTTGCGATGCTCGAGGGGAGTCGTGTCTTGGGAATGGTGTCGAGCCTAGTCGATGGCGCGGTGCGCTTCGCTTCGCGTTTGAGCATTGCAAGTTCTCGTCGCGTAGTGGTGGTGGCTTGCTTGTCCTTCGCTCTATGCATGCTTTTCTGTTCTCCCATGAGCTGGCGTATGGAAAGGTATGCAGGTTAGACAGCACAGCTCTAGTCAGGTTAGAAGGTGTATCCGTCTTTCTCTCTCCCCTTTTCCGTCCCTTTTCCGGTCCCCATCTCCGCCCGTTTCAACGTCCCATTTCCGTCCATTTTTTCCGTGCCCTTTTCCGTCCCTTTCTCCGTCCCCGTCCCCGTCCCCAATCTGACAGCACCTGTGACCTTCAAGGCGAGCCAAGATTCACCCGAAGTTTCAACCACGCTGGCAGCAGCTGTGTCATTTGAGTCACAGCTAATGCAGACCTCGCCTGTTACTGAGGTAGGGGTGATGGTGAGGAGGAGACGGTTGCAGGCGGAAGGGGGGGGATCGAGTCAGGAGGATGATGAGGATGAGAGGAGGCAGGAAGAAGAGGAGAAGAGGGAGGAAGAGGAGGCGAGGAAGGTGGAGGAGGAAGAGAAGGAGGAGGCGGAGGAGGAGAAGAGGGAGGATGAGGAGGAGCAAGGTAGAGGGGAAGAGGAACGGGAGGGTAAGGGGGAGGAGCAGACGGGTGAGGCGGGGAATAAGGATAAGGGGGAAGAGGAGGAGCAGGACGAGGAGGGGGTGTTGGCGGAGGGGGAAGGGGAGGAGGAACAGGAGGGAGTGGGGGAGGAACAGAAGGAGGGGGAGGGGAAGGAAGGCGAGGAGGAGGAGGAGGAAGAGGAGGGCGCACAAGGCAAGGAGGAGACTACGAGAAGCAATGGAGGTTCCGGTGAAAGCAGTGATGGCGGTGCCAGTGTTGGTGGTAGTGATAATGAAGGAGCAGGAATGGGAAGGGGCGAAACAGGAGCGGGAGGAGGAGAAACGGGAGGAGGAGGCCAAACGGGAGTAGGAGGGCAAACGGGAGGGGACGAGGGCGGCAGGAGGCCGGGAGGGCGGCGTTACGTGCCACCACTGGACGCCGTGATTGCGAACGTGACGGGCGGCAGGGACCGTCCCATTGTGGTGGTCACGGCTCGTGCCGTCAACCTGGAATTCGTTCACAACTGGTGCGATGGGGAGGAAACGGTGTGGGAGAGTGAATGGAGGGAGATGGAGGTTGGTTGAGGTATAAGAAAAGAATCAGAGGGAGCGGAGGAGGCAGGTAGCTGCTGTCACAGCTCGGGCCGTCAACCAAAAGTTACAACTGGTGCACTGGGAATGGGTGGGGGCGGAGGGGGTGATCGTGCGAGAGGCGTTGAAAGAGAGAGTTAGAGGGAACAGAGGCAGGTAGTTGATGTCACGGCTCGTGCTGTCAACTGGTGCGCTGGGGATTTGGGGGAGGAGGAGGGAGGGGATTGTGGTGAGAGAGTGGGTAGGAAGAGCGGGGACAGGGAGCGCATGGGGCGGTGGGTGCTGTTCAGTGCAGAGGGGGTGAGGAAAATTTCCCTCTCCAACTCCCTCTCTTCCCACCCCTACCCACCACCCTTGTCCTCCCCTCTCCCAATTCGCCTGGCACATGGCAGGTACCTGTCAGTGCGAGGAAAGCGCATGGGGCGGCGGGTGCTGTTCATAGCAGAGGACTACCACTCCTTCCGCCTGTTGAACCGCCAGTTCCCCATGCAGGCTGCTCTTATTGTTACTCCCAAGAACGACCAGGTGAGTGCTGCGCCACACGTGCACAAGCGCATGGGGCGGAGAGTGCTGTTCATAGCAGAGGACTACCACTCCTTCCGCCTGTTGAACCGGCAATTCCCCATGCAGGCTGCCCTCATTGTCACTCCCAAGGGCGACCAGGTGGGTGTTATGTTGGCACACATACACACGCACACATGTGCAGAGGTCTGCCACTCCTTCCGCCTGCTCAACCGCCAGTTCCCCATGCAGGCTGCTCTCATTGTCACACCCAAGGGCGACCAGGTGGGTGCTGCTGCTCTTGCACGCTCTGCGTCTGATGCGTCTCAACCACTGGTTGTTCATACTTCTTGGTACGAGAGTCGTGCTTTTCAGAAAAAAAACGAAAGCACCGACTTGACTAATGCGACAACATGATTCGAATAGCCAGCTATTCTCTGGAAAAATATCTAGAGATATGACCTGAGGATTCTCTTTTAGTAAGAATGTACCTTCTTTCTTTCTTTTTCCAGAAAATCGTACACTTCACCTGTCTCCACTTAACACATTCCGCCCTGGCCTGGTTGCTCAATGCAGACAGCAGGCATTGAGGACAGGTGCCTGTGGCACTTCCTTCCCCTCCTCAACACAGCGAGCTGACTTTTGAGTCTAACTCAAAAGGCCACTAGCTAAAACTATACATGCTCTTCATGTCATTGCACCTTACATACCTTCGCCCGTGCCTGGTTGCTCAATGTCAATGCAGACAGCAGGCATCGAGGACAGGCGCCCATGGCACTTCCTTCGCCTTCTGCAACACAACGTCTCCTTCCTCTACAATGTAAGCCCTATTGATACGCCCTTGTAAGGATAGTGCAGCAATCCTCTACAATGTACGCCCCGCCCTGCCGACCCGTGTCATGCCCTACCCTGCCATGCCCTACCCTGCCATGCCCTACCCTGCCATGCCCTGCCCTGCCATGCCCTGCCCTGCCATGCCCTGCCATGCTCTGCCCTGCCCTGCCCTGCCGCCCACGTCATGTCTTCCTCTACAGCGTAATCCTGCCGTTGCGTTTTTTTTTTTTTTTTTTCGTTTCTCAAAAGTGATGCAAATTTTACTATGTAAGCCGTGCCGAATGCTTCCCTCCCCCCATCCCCATCCCCATCCCTCCTCCCCACACGCCAAGATCCGGACTAGTGTGGCTGCAGCTTCTCTTCTCTCCGTCAACCCCTCCCTTTCCTTTCTCTCCCCATTCCCTCCTTCCCGCCATTCCCCCCCTTTCACTCTCCCCCAACATCAGGATCCGGACATGGTGTGGCTGCAGCTCCCCTTTGGGTACTTCAACGGCGACTTTGACCTCTGGGCCGCCTCCTTCGCCGCCACCTTTGACGCCAACCAAACCCCCACCGATGCGTCCTCACCCCTGTTCCCATTCCCCCCTTCACCCTCAACCAGAATCCGGACATGGTGTGGCTGCAGCTGCCATTCGGGTACTTCAACGGTCATTTCGACCTCTGGGCCTCCTCCTCCGCCGCCACCTTTGACTCCCCTCGAACGCCCTTCCCTCTCCCCATCCCCCCCCCTCCACACACACACCAGGACCCGGACATGGTGTGGCTGCAGCTCCCCTTTGGATACTTCAACGGCGACTTTGACCTCTGCTGGGCTGCCCCTTCCCCCCCCACCTTTGATGCACCTCATAGGCCCTTCCGCATCTTTCCTCCCCCTCCCCATCCTTTTCCCCGCCTTCCCCACACCAGGACCCGGACATGGTGTGGCTGCAGCTGCCCTTTGGGTACTTCAACGGCGACTTTGACCTCTGGGCCGCCTCTTCCGCTGCCACCTTTGACGCGCCTCAACAGCCCACCGACGACGCCGCCGTACCCCCCACCACCACCACCAACCACCACCTCCTCCGCCCCACACCTCTCCCACCCAACCAACCGCTCTCCACCGCTCTGCTCTACTTCCGCGCGTCCCCAGGCGCGCGGGCTGCGGTGCAGGCATGGCAGGCAGAGCTCAAGTTCATTGTCATGAAGACGAGAAAGTTGGGTGTGCCGATGAACCAGAGCGAGGGCGCGTTCAATCGCGCGGTTCGAGGGGTCGGGAGCAACGCCAGGGTCGCGCTGCTGCCGCAGCTGCTGTTCCCGTCGATCGCGCTTTACTTTAGGTGGGTCGGTCGGAGAGTGCGTGCTGTTTGGCTGTTTGGTTCTTGCTCCTTGGGGCGAGTGTTGGGATGTCTCATTACCTTAAGGTGGGTTGAAAAGTGTTTGCTGTGGGATCAGCACCTAGCAGCGAGTATTACACGACTCATTACTGGTACTTACAAGAGTGAGCTGAGCTGGACTGTTTGGTTCGTTCCGAGAGCCCCTTTTAAGCCCAGGCGAAGAAGCTTGGTTGAGGCGCTGTGAGAAAATGTGGCGAGGGGTGTGGGTGGGAGGTGTGGTACAGGTGCTTCCTTCTGCTGTTCGTTCTTTTCCCATTGACTTGAAGATTGTTATTTCTCCCTCTCCCACTCCCTAATCCCTTATCACGGTGTTGCAGCGATCCCGCGTTTCGTTCGGATCTGGAGGCAAAGTCAATAAGACCAGTCGTGCTACACAGCAGCGCAATTGAAAACAGGCTTGAAAAGAAGAGCCTTCTAAAGAGTCACGGCCTCTGGGTGCTATCGGATAAATGGCAGCCATTTGCTATGGGACGCTCCCAAAACTTTGGGGGATAAAAGCACATTATTTATGTGACATAAACTATACCAAATTCTTGGTGGTTGGTTGTATGGGTACAGTATATTTTGTAAGAATATAAATTGCTCTGTGTGCTTTCCTTTGTAAGCAAGGTGTAGGGTCTGATTTTTATAAGCGAATATGGTATTGTCCGTGTCAAAGAACCTCAAAACGCGCAGACTCGTTAGAAGCTTCGAATTTGTCTTTCCCTGGTGGTGCTTCTCACTTGTTCGCCCATCCAGCCATTCCCTCCAGCCACAGTTCACCCTCACCTACCGACTTCCCCCCCTCCCCGCTCACTTAGTCACACATTCGTTCCGCACTCCACGCACGATGCCTACGTGTAGTTGTTCAGTTTAGGGTTTTTTCCTGTTGCGTTTCGTTACAACTAACCACGGCCTTGCAGGATTGGGATTATTTTGAAGGTTTTGTTCCTAGGAGCGCGATCGTGACGTCGTGTAGACCAATCAGGTTGCGAGGTGCCAGCGTCGCACGACGGTAGTCAATCATGTCCACCAGCGCGTTAGCCGGGATTTTTGCGGAGGCCACGTTGACGGTCGACGTGGCAAAGAAGCACGTTCGCGAAGCGGCCGATGTGGCTGTTGCTGACGCGGAAAGGGCCCCGCACGTGTTGCGGCGAGCAGCCGACGTGGATGCGGACGACCCTGCCACGTGGCGCGAGCTCACGCTTCCGTCGCGAGGGTTTTCGAGGGTGAGATAAACAGGAGACGCCACTGTTCTTATGCGGGATACGATGGGTTCAAGTAAGCGCAAGGCGAGGCAAGCGAGGTGACATCTGAGTCGTGTAAAACTCTCGAACTAACGCAATGCAAGAGTCAGACGAAAACATGCGAGAGCAGATCGAAGTGATCTGTATCAACAGCTCGAAAAGCCCGAAACCCCGGTAAACCCCCCGTGTACCTCCTTCTCACACCTCGTCTGGAAGATTCCTCACCATCTTAGCAGGAGAGCTAAACCCTTTTTTTCCCCCAATTTTTATTTGACAGCGCCTACTGTGTCTTGCCTCACTATTTCTTTCAAACCTCTCACTATTTCCCTTTCCCTTTTCTTCCCGCGTCTCTCCCCTCTTCGCCTCCCTCCCTTCCCCGCTCCCCCTGCCTTCAATTACCCCACCCTCCGCCCTCAATCGATCCATTGCCAGGTGGACAGTCTCTCGGCTTGCTCCCAGTTGACTCGCCTTGACTTGAGCGGAAATAACTTGACCTCGCTGGAGGTGAGCGGGAGGGGGAGGGGGAGGGGGAGGGAGAGAGAAAGGGCGGGAGGGGTGGGGGGGTTGGACTTTTTGGTGTTATTGGCACCCACTGTCAGGTGAACAGTCCGGTTGACTCGCCTTGACTTGAGCATGTGGCTGCATTTTGAATATGTCTTTCTCAGAGCTGTGATGTTTCTTCGCCAAAATCTAACCCCACACCCCGACTTTAAACAAATTACCCAAATCCCAAATCTAAAACCCACCTCACCCCTCAGGGCATCTCGTCGTGCGTCTCTCTGCGTTGGCTGGATATCGCCAGCAGCAGTGTCTCCTCGCTTCGTGACCTTTAAGTTGCCTCATAAAAGCGTAAATCCCAAACCTTTAATCCCAAACCCCAACCCTTGCACTTCCCCTCAGGGCCTCTCCTCCTGCGTCTCTCTGCGCTGGCTGGACATCGCCAGCAACAGCATCTCCTCGCTTCAGCCGCTCACATCCCTCACTGCCCTTCTGGTAATTGCTACCATCAATCAGCCAGCTACCCTCACCTCATCCATGGAACATCTTCCCTCTCTGCTGTCTGCGGTTGTGTGTCCCGTCCCCATGTCTCACTTGTGTCTGCTGCCCCTCCTGAGCCCCCTCATCTTGCCCCCCATTCTCATCATGCCAGTACCCCCTGTGCAGGTCCAACAAAAGGCCAGTCACAGCATGGTGTGGGACGTCTCGCCTGTCTGTTGCCCCTACTTCAACTGTCCCTCCTTATGATCTCCCTCCCATTCTCATCGTTCCCATACCGCACCCATGCAGGTCCTAAAGGCCAGTCACAACATGGTGGGTTGGGGGGTGTCTCTCCTGTCATTCTCAGTCACCCACCTGGCGAAGCTGCAGGCGATCCGTTCCCATCATGCCTCCTACCATCCCCTCACTTCCACTTCCCCCCTGCAGGTGCTCAAGGCGAGTCACAACATGGTGGGGGATGTCTCTCCTGTCACGCACCTGGCGAAGCTGCAAGCGCTCATTCTCAACAGTGAGTGCACTGCACCCTTGGAAAGGCGACCCAGAAGTCGCTCATGCGGGCAAACATTGACTGCAGGAAATGCATGTCTGCCTGCTCGCTCGCTCCTGTGCTGCCTGCCTGTCACACGCACACGCACCTGGCGAAGCTGCAAGCGCTCATTCTCAACAGTGAGTGCACTCGAGAATCTCTCGGGAGACGACTCAGAAGTCGCTCATATGCGTGCAAACCTTGGCTGGAGCGCAGTGAATTGGGGCATGGTGAGATTCCCATTGCGCTCAATGAGCATGACCGCACACAGCTCTGCCTGTTGCCCTTTCTCCTCTCCCCACCCTCCTCCCCTTCCTCCTCCTTCCCATGCCCACCCCTTTCTCGGGCCCCCCTCCCTCCTCACCCCTCTTCCCCACCTTCCCCCCCACTTCCCCACCTCCTCTCCCCTCCCCCTTCCCTCCCCCCCCCCCGTCTCCAGATAACCTGCTCGGTTCCCTCTGCAATCTGGCTCCTCTCACTGCTCTCAACACGCTGGGTGAGTACCTTCCAAAACTGTACCTCCTTTGAGAAGGGGTTTGAGCAGACGGTAGACCTCATACTATTTTCCGGCAGTGCATCTTACTAATTATCATGATTTTTCCATCGGAATCGTCGTCGTCGTCCTCATCATCATCATCATCATCATCATCATCATCATCATCATCATCATCATCATCATCATCATCATCATCATCATCATCATCATCATCATCATCATCATCATCATCATCATCACCACCACCACCACCACCACCACCACCACCACCACCACCACCACCACCACCACCACCACCACCACCACCACCACCACCACCACCACCATCATCTCACTATCTCTTCCAACCGAACCCGCTGCACGTTCAACCCCGTGCACTCTCTCTCTCAACCCCTTTGAACCACTCTCAACCGCTCTCAACCCCTCTCATGCAGTGCTATCCCACAACGAGCTGCCTGCTCTAGGCAACTCCCTCCGCGGCCTCTCTGCACTCAAGAAGGTACGCGGGCGATCCAAGTAAAGGCCCTTCGTTTACTGGGATGATCAATCAAGCTACTCTTCCTTCGCTGGGGCGATCAGTTGAGGTACCATTTGCCAGCAATTACCACCCGCACAAACAACCCCACCCCACACACGCAAGAACCCCGTCCTCTCAAGAACACACACACACACTCGTTATGCTTCCAACTATCTCTCACAAGCTCGCTCTTTCCACTCCACAACCTCTTGTGTTTTGACTTTTGAGTCGACTCAAAAGTCAAGCTCGCTCTTTCCACAACCTCTTGTGTTTTGAGCGTATCTAGACACACGAGGTGTACACTCTAGATGGAGGAGGATCGGAGGTGGTGCCACTGTGATCGTATTAAATTTACCCCTTCATCCCCCATCCACCCCTGCAGCTCTCCCTGTCGAGCAACGGCCTCACATCTCTCACCAACGACCTCAGCGGGTGCATGTCGCTGGAAGAACTGCGCCTCTGCCCCCACTTCCCTCCCCTTGCTGTTTACCCTGCTGTCATCTACCCACCCGTCCACCCATGCGTGCAGCTCTCCCTGTCCAGCAACGGCCTCACATCGCTCACCAACGACCTCAGCGGGTTCATGTCGCTGGAAGAACTGCGTCTGGCCCACAACCACATCTCGGTGCGTAAGAATGAACCACTGTGCATGTATGCAGTTAACATATGTTCCTTGACAATAAAGCTCACCAGCGATCTCAGCGGGTGCATGTCGCTGGAGGAGGTGCGTCTAGCCCACAACCACATCTCGGTACGTGTGATGCGAATGAACGGTTATGCCTGTATGCGTGCATGCACTTTTCACATGCTCACTTGCTCGCATGAGTGAGTCGACTGAACGTTGCGTGCATGTCGCTGGAGGAGCTGCGCCTGGCCCACAATCACATTTTGGTGCAAATTTATGTACTTATAATCTACGTTATAGTGCTTGATTTTTTATTACTTTTTTTTTTTTTTTTTTCCCACTGTGTGGTGCCAGTCATGAGATTTTTCTAACCACTTCACGTTTGGGGATACCTTTCTCATCGTGTGGTTTTTTTTTAGAAATGTGGCTACAAAATTAACCTACAAAGAAATGTGGCTTCCGGTTGTTTCATGAATTGCTGTTTGCATTGCATACGCTGTGAACCTTTTTTACGAGAGGATACAAGCGTATTTATCTCTTATCACTATAAGATGCCTCAGTTGAACTGATTTTAAAGCTTGGGGAGCAGTTTACTGATGTTATTTTTCCCTTCCACATTCCTTCATCCCACCCACCAGGCCCTCTCCCTCGCCCTCTCCTCCCTCACCCGTCTCCGCATCCTCTACCTCTCTTCCAACCAAATCACTCACTCAAGCTCCTCTCCCTCGTCTCTGCTTTTTTCTTCCATCCCTCCCTCCCATCATCCCATTCCCCCAGGTCCTCTCCCCTGCCCTCTCCTCCCTCACCCGCCTTCGGATCCTCGATCTCTCCTCCAACCGAATCCCCTCCCTCAAGCTGCTCTCCCTCGCCACCCTCGCCGCCTTCCCCCGCCTCTCCTCCCTGTCCGTCCGGGCAAACCCTCTGCTCGGGGATGATCCCTCCAAGGTCGAGGCTCAGGTGAGATTAAAGCCCACGTGAGACTAAAGCTCAGGTGAGACTAAAGCCCAGGTGAGATTAAAGCCCTAGTGTGGCATTTTCTACCTTTGAGGCAATATCGATCCCCTCCAAAATGAACCCCAGATGAGACTTTGTTTTGGCGCCTAAAGCAATCCTTTCCTTCTTGAGAATTTTGAGTCGACTCAAAAGTCACCTCGACTCATGAGTCGACTCAAAAGTCACCTTGTTTTGGCGCCTAAAGCAATCCTTTCCTTCTTGAGAATTCTCAAAATTGACTCTTCGCCCCAACCCTCTCTTTGTTTTTTTGTTCGTTGTTTTTTTCTTTTTCTTTTTTCCTTTTCCACATCCTCTCCTTCCTTTTCCACATCCTCTCACCGTTCTCCAACCATCCACGCCAGCACGTGCCTCGCTTGCAATTGTTGCATCCACGCAAGGCTTTTGAGTCGACTCCAAGAAAACCTCCTACCCCCTCCTGCTCCCCCCTTCACCACCCATCCACACCAGATTCTCAAGCACCTGCCCCGCTTGCGGTTTTGAATTTGCACAAGTCAAGGATTTTTAGTTTTAGTCACTCAATGGTTTCCCCTCCTCCCTCTCCCACTCCCACCCCTCCTCGCCCCGCCCCATCCATCCACACCAGATTCTCAAGCACCTGCCCCGCTTAAGGCTGCTGGATTCACGTAAGGTGGGGAAGGGAGGAGGGAGGGGACGAGAGGCAGAGGGAGCTGGGGAAGAAGTTTCTGCAGCAGTGGGTGACACTGAGGTGCAAGGTGATACTAATAACGGAGATGCTGTTATGGAGAATGGGGAGGTGAAGGGAATGAAGGGAGAGACGGGGAAAGGGAAGAAGAAGGGGAAAAAGGAGAAGCAGGGGGGTGAACAGGGGGAGGAAGCAGGGCAGAAGCAGGAGGGGGGAGGGAAGGAGGGGAAGGGGTTGGGAGAAGGGAAGCAGGAGGGGGAGAAGGGGGCAGAGGTGGTTAAGGAGAAAGGAGAAGCGCAAAAGGAGGAGAGGCAGAAAGGGGAGCAGAAGCAGGTATCCCTGTTGGAGCCTACGGGCCTGACGCAGTTGAAAGAGACTGACAGTACTGCTGGTGCTGGTGCTGGTGCTGCAGTGGGGACAGTGGGCAAGAGCGCGAGGAGAGACAATGCCACTGTCCCCACTGCAGCAGAAGGGATGGCGGAGGTGGTGCAGGGAAGCACGCTGTTGCTGCCTGTGATGGTGGACAGGAAGGGCGGGAAGAGGGAGGTGAAGGGGGGTGAGGTGGGGGTGAAGGGGGGAAGGGGAGGGGAAGGAAAGCGAGAAGGGAAAAATGGAGGCGAAGAGAAGGGAGAGGGTGCAAAGGGGATGAAGAGAAAGTCAGAAGTGGTGGTGGGGAGTGGGGTAGGAACGGGAGAGGAGGATGGTGTGTGGATGGCAGAAGGCAGGGCAGAGATGCCAGAGCTCAAGGCGGGGAATGTCAGGGTAATAGAGAAGGTGAAGGGGATGGAGAAGATGGGGAAGAAAGCAAGCGTAGCTAAGGTGCTGAGGAATGAGTGGGCTGACGCGATTGGGGAGGGAGGGGAGTCCGCGTGGGACTGAATGAGGCTTGCTTGGGTACAACAGATGAGAAGGGATTGGAGAAGACAGGAAAGGGAAAAGGGAATGTGAGGGGAGTCAACTTGGGACTGATTGAGGCTTTCCTGTTTTGAGACGTCTCATAAGGGCGTGTGTGATTTAGGGGTTTAAGAAAAGTTCATGTTTAGGGTTCGATTTAAGCAGGGTTTAGAAAACTGAACTTGACTCGACTTTGAGCGATGACAATGTTCGAACCGCGGGTGACAATGCTTGTACCGTATGGCCTCGGATATAGGCGCCGTCAGATTAAAGGCGCCGGCGCCTATATCTGGAGCATGGCGCTTATGGCCGTTCCTCGATTATAAGCGCCCCCCCTGTAAAACCCTGATTTATTATAAGCGCATGCATAATTTTAATCTTTCAAGCTTTATTAAAACAGTAACGAATTTCGAATTTCAAGCGAGTAAGCACCCATTTTCAATTTGTTTGACTTTCGAGGTCCTGACTGGTTTCGCGTCCAGTCAGGATGAGGTGGCAGGCGGGCAAACTGACGTGCGAAAAGCTATGTGCAGCGGATTCGCCCTCACGCGATTCAAATTCAGGACGCTATAAAATGTCGACTCGATTGAACTTACGAGACGGAAATGTACAATTTGATGTGTTAAGTTGTAATTTATGTATTTGTCATTATATAAGCGCCGGCGCTTATGGCCGATACTCAATTAAAAGCGCCCCCCCCCCCCAAAAAAACTGATTTTATTATAAGCGCATATGTGCTACTATCAGGGGTAATACGGTAGATTCACAATCACACACGGAGGTGCGAATTTGCAAGTTCGAATTTACATGGGGGGAACCGAGCCGCGTATTGGCACTGTAGGTTACCCGGTTTCAATCACTGGACAGCGCGACACGTCACCGAAGCGCAGCTCAAAAAAGAGCACGCTAGACCTCCAGCACGGCTTCGCCAAAGGGATAGTTGAGCACGCTACAAATATCCCCGTGCTGGGCCAGGTTGTTAGAATCTAGCAGCAGGAATGAATGAACTATGAAAGAGTTGGGTACAAGTATGAAACCCTAAAAGGGGCTGTACCCCATATTGGCTACCCCACTACAGCCTACACATATGTAACATGCATATACTTTGACACACCCCCATAGGCAAAGTGGGGGAGAGCAAGGGGTCACAAGACCAGTCAAGAGAAGCAAAGCAAGCTCAGGGTGGATCACAACGTCACCACACACACCGAGCACAAGCAAAGGGCCACAAGGCCAGTTCACATGCAGAGGTATATATGCAAAAACGACAGCACAGTGATCTCTACCTAGCAGAGCAAGCATGCAGGTATATATATATAGATCACAGTACAAGCAAAGTCTACAGCAAGTGAGGAAACGTGGGCGCAAGGCCTAACAGAGTGCAGAAACGCTGATGATCACCAGACGGAAGCGCCTTGGTGAATATATCAGCAGTGTTGGCCCGAGTGGCCACGTGAGCAAGACGAAGCTGACCACGCTGCTGCAACTCTCGAGCCAGGAAGTAACGCAGAGCGATGTGCTTCGTTCTGTGCTCCAGTCAGTGCTCCTGACACAAGGCAATGGCGGCCTTGTTGTCGACGTACAGCACTGGAGGAGAACGAGGCCGCTCTCCCAAGTCGGTCAGCAGGTAGGTGAGCCAGCGTAACTCCTGTGCAGCCATGGCTGTGGCGTAGATCTCAGCCTCACAACTGGAGCTGAGAACTGAAGACGAGCGTGTAGAACGCCAAGAAACCGAACCAGAGCCAAGGCTGAAAGTGTAACCCTGTGACGACCACTGCGTAGCCTGGTCGTCAACCCAAGAAGCGTCCGAGTGCCCAGTGAGGACAACGTCGCCCCGTCCTCCAAGCACGAGCCCCATGCCCGATGTACTGCACAAGTAGCGCAGTACCCTCTTAGAAGCATCCATGTGCACCTTCCGGTGCTGACCAGGGGCCACGTAGCGAGCCAGAAGGCCAAGAGGGTATGCAAGTTCAGGACGAGTGCAGGTCATCAGGTACATGAGGCAGCCCACTAGCTCTGGGTAAGGACCACTCGGCTCTACGGACGCGTCCGAAGGTGGAGCTGAGAGCGAGTGACCTGTAGCCATAGGAGTGGCCTGTGCCGAGGACCAGGTGAAGCCGAAGCGCTGAAGGACCTGCTGCACCATGTGTGACTGAGTCAGTGTGATGGTGCGGCGTGCTCTGTCCCGGGTGATCTGCAAGCCAAGGTAACTGCGCAGCTCACCCAGGTCTGTGCACGTGTGTCTCTTCTGCAGCTCCGACTTCACCAGGGCGAGAGCCTCAGTGTCAGCAGTGACAAAGACCAAGTCGTCAACGTACACGAGCATGTAGAACGGCGACAGCGAAGTGTCGGTGCGCAGAAACAGCGACGGGTCAGCAGTCGACGGAGCAAACCCAAGAGCCGCAAGTGTCGTCCTCAGTGTGTCGTGCCACTCACGTGGCGCCTGGCGGAGACCGTAGACCGGCCGCCAGAGGCTCCACTGGGTACCATGAGGGAACAACCCAGTGAATCCAGGTGGGCGGCGCAGCCAGATCTCCTCGTGCAGGCTGCCCTGTAAGAAGGCTGTGCTAAAGTCAAGAGAGTGAAGCTCGTAGTCACGCTGAGCGGCAACGTGCAGCAGCACCCGAAGAGTGGTCATCTTCGGGGTGGGGGAGAAGGTCTGGAAGAAGTCTACTCCCTCTCGCTGACTGAAACCTCGTGCAACGTAACGCGCCTTGAAGACAGGCGGAGAACCCGGCGGCCGCTTCACCCTGAAAATCCACATGCCACTGACGATGTTCGCCCCAGGTGGGGGAACCTCGTCGACGTAAGTGCCTGTGGACTTCCAGGGTGCCATCTCTGCGTCCATGGCTGTCTGCCACTGAGAGGAGTACTCACCCGCTATCGCCTCAGCGTAAGAGCGCGGGGTCGGGATGTCTGGAGCATCCGGGTCTCCCTCAGGGGCAAGCAGCATGGACACGAGATGAGGCGCAACGGCTGCAAGACACTCAAGGTCCTCCTGCCTGTCCTCAAGGCCGTCCGTGCCAAGAGCACACTCACCCCCGACGGACGGAGGACAGACAGACTCAGACTCAGCAACAAGACTAGCGGCGTAGTCTAGACGACAGGCAGCAGCAAAGTCAACAAGCTCAGCGACTAAGGCAGACGCAGCAGCAGACTCAAACGACGGGTCAGTGACAACAGTGGCTAGTAGACGCGTGACAGTAGGGTGCTCAGCACGAAACCGGTCAGAATCAGGGTCCGCAACGACAGGCAGAGAAGACGCAGGAGGAGACGGCAGAGGAACACGCTGCGAAGGAGAGGAAGGACGACGGACTACGAGGTCCGGCTGACGCGGACGAGGAACACGACGACCGGACCAACCAGAACGGACAGGCGAGACAGGACGCGACGCAGGCTCACGACGCTCAGTAAGACCCCCTGTCTGCTCAGTGTAAGGAGAAGGAGCAGGCAGCGGTGAGCCAGGCTGTAACGGAAGATCAATAGACGAAGGGAGACTAAGAACCTGGCGAAGCACAGAGTCAGGCGGTGGCTAAGACGACGGAGACGGTGGAGCGAAGAACAGGCGCGGCTGTGCAGTGACACCTGCACCCGCAGCTCCAGTACCCCCAGCAGCTCCAGCACCTCCAGCAGCTCCAGAACCCTCAGCGCCAGCTCCTCCAGGACCAGCTCCACCAACAGCAGCACCCCCAGAACCGGCACCTCCAGTCCCAGGGTCTCCAGCCTCCGTGTCTCCAGCAGGAGCACCCCCAGACCCAGTGTCTCCAGCAGTAGCACCCTCAGGCTCAGCACCTCCAGCCCCAGCAGCTCCAGTACCTCCAGTACGAGCACATCCTGGACCAGCACCACTCCCAGCTCCAGTGACGTCAGCAGAAGTACCTCCAGCGGCAGAGCCCCGAGCTCCAGAAGCGCGACCCTGGCGGCGACCGTACCAGTCGTGCAGCTGCTGTGAGGTGAGAGGCACACGCGGACGAAGGCGGCTACTCCAAGGAGACCGCGTAACAGCAGACTCAGAACCCTCAGCGCCAGCACCCGCAGCAGCTCCAGAACCTCTAGTGTCAGCACCCTCAGCAGCTCCAGAGCCTCCAGCTCCAGCGCCACCAGCGCCAGCACCTCCAGCAGCTCTAGAACCTCCAGCTCCAGCACCCTCAGTAGCTCCAGAACCTCCAGCTCCAGCGCCACCAGCGCCAGCACCTCCAGCTCCAGCGTCACCAGCGCCAGCACCTCCAGCAGCTCCAGAACCTCCAGCTCCAGCAGCCTCAGCAGCTCCAGCAGAAACAACTCCAGTAGCAGAGTCACCAGCTCCAGCGCCTCCCGCAGCAGGGCCCCTAGCTCCAGCAGTGCGACCCTGACAGTCAACGTACCACTCAAGCAGCTGCAGTGGGGAGAGAGGGAGTCGACGACGAGAGTGCAGCGGCGAGGCACCAGCGGAGCGACTACGGAGACGGCCGCTCCAGGGAGACTGCTCACCAAACGCCTCAGCGCCCCCAGGTGCAGCACCCCCAGACTCAGTACCCCCAGGCTCAGCACCCCCAGACTCCTCACGCCCAGGCTCAGCACCTCCAGTCTCCGCACCCCCAGGCTCCGCACCCCCAGGCTCCGCACCTCCAGGCTCCGCACCCCCAGGCTCAGAACCCCAAGGCTCCGCACCCCCAGGCTCAGCACCCCCAGTAGCAGCACCCCGAGCAGGACCACCCTCAGCAGGACATGAGTCACCAGTGACCTCAACCGGCTCAGTCAAGGGAGGAGGGTCTACCTGAGACACACCTGAAGGAGCAGGACCGGGAGCGGGGAGGGGGTCTACCTGGGGAGCACCTGGAACGAGGAAGAGCGGCGGGGGGGGGGAGAGGGGCAGTGCGGTAGGGGAAGAGACGGTAAAAGGGAACCGACTCGTCGAACGTGACGTCCTGAGAGGGGAAGACACGGCGCGAGGTGGGGTGGTAAAACTGCCAACCAGGCGCGTCAGGGAGAAAGACAAGGAAGACACAGGGAACAGCGCGGGCGGAGAGCTTGTCCGCGGTGGTATCGCGGACAAAGGCACGAGCACCCCAGACCCAGAAACGCGACGCATCGCCAACCTTCCCCGTCCACAGCAGTGTGGGCGAGGTCTCCGGCAAGGAGACACGGGGCCAGAGGTTGAGCTGATGCGCGGCGTACCGGACCGCAAACGGCCACAGAAAATGGGGGGCAGCCGCATGGATCATGGAGGTACGAGCGACCTCCATGACTAAGCCAATGCGGCGCTCAGCAACCCCATTCTGCTGCGGAGAGGTCAGAAGCGTGAACGTCTGGCGGATGCCGTGCTCCGCACAGAAGGCTACCAAGAGGTCTGAGGAGAACTCACCACCCCTGTCAGAGTGCAGACGCAGGACAGGAAAGTCCGACTGGAACCGCTCGCGGAGCTGGAGACGAACAGCGCGGATCCAGGGGATCAAAACATCAGGGACCTCCCCCTTACTGCGCAAGGGGAAGACCGTGGTGTAACGCGTGTAGTCGTCGACGACCAGCAGGAAGTACCGCTCGTGGCCCTATCCACGGACGCGGGCTGGGCCCCACACGTCCAGGTGGAGAGTCTGCAGGGGAGCCTTTGTGGGAGGGAACGAGGAGGAGTGAGGAGCGGCGCGCTGCCGCCCCTCGACACAGGGAAGACAGGGAGGAGCAGGCGAGGGTGGTAGAGGAGGCAGAGTCTCTGGAAGTCCAGAGACAAGGAAACGGCGGTGCATGCTACGAAGGCGTTGCACCGAGGGGTGACCAAGGCGGTGGTGCCAAAGGAGGGTCTGGTGCGACAAAGCGCGACACAAGCAGGGGGCTGCTAGCTGACCTGACGCAAACGCAGACGCGGACGCAGCTACCTGAGGGGACACAGTGGTCAGTGTGCATGGACTCGAGCCAGGCGCTCGGGTGAACGTGGCCAGGTGCCGACCAGTCCGGGAGCACGTACAGTGGGTCACACGCTGACCTCCAGGGGTGAACTGGTCAACCCACACATCCTGTAGGTCAGCACCACTCTCCAAGTTCGTAGAGAACGAGGGGAGGTGAAGACCTGACAGGGAGCCAGACGGGACCGCCGGACACGGCAGGACCGTGGAGGAGTGCGCAAGGACAGGACCCCCAGAGGGGTCTGCCAGGGAGACTGCAACCGGCCGACGGAGCGGCGTAAGGGTGGTGCTGTCGCGAAAGAAGGAGCGGGAAGCACCTGAGTCAAGTGTGAAGGTGTACAAGGCCTCAGCAGGCGCAGTACCAGAGAGAGCAGACTCACCAGCACCTGGAGCAGCAGCCTCACCAGTACCTAGAGCAGGAGACGCACTAGCACCTAGAGCAGCAGCCTCACCAACACCTAGAGCAGCAGGCTCTATACCTGGGTCAGGCGGTACGCGTAGGGAACAGGCACGGTCAGCACTAGTAGGCAATGCATACATGGCAGTGAGAATAGCATCATAGTCAAGAGCAAAGATATCTACCCTCTGTCCAAGCAGCTCCAGCCAGGTGGGGAGCTCAGCCTCGTCGCCAAACTCGGTACGCCAGGCGTCGCTCAGACGGGCGAAGCAGCGGGACTGTGTGTGACCAAGCGTCCCGCAAGCCTGACCGGCCCGATCACCTGTGCGAATGACGTATGGGCAGCGAACGGTACTCAAAGACCCTCTACTCTGAGCGTACCACTCGTGAAGCTGCTGGGACGTAAGTGTCTCGCGTGGACGCCGCTGCAGCTGCAGCTGGCCACTGCCAGACGCTCCCAACTGACCAGCTCCAGGGCGACAGCTACGACAGCGACCGTCACAACCCCGACTAGCGTACCACTCACGAAGCTGCTGGGGCGTGAGAGACTCGCGTGAACGTCGCTGGAGCTGCATCTGGCCACCGCCAGTAGCAGCAGTAGCAGTAGTAGCAGTAGCAGCAGCAGCAGCAGCAGCAGCAGCAGCAGCCTAGCAGTAGTAGTAGCGCGGGCAAGGCAGGCGCGGCAGACAGACAGGCAGGCAGGCGTGGCAGGCAGGCAGGTAGGCAGGTGCTCTCCAGTGGCGGGAAGGGCAGGCGCACGATGGCGGCGACGGCGGGGCCGCGACAGCTGCGGCAGAGCAGGACCGCGTCAGAGGTAGGGCAGGTCCGCGACAGCTGCTGCAGGGCGGGGACGTGACGGCGGCAGAAGGCTCCACGGCAGCTGCTGCAGGGCAGGGCCGCGACGGCGGCAGATGGCTCCGCGGCAGCCGCGGCAGCTGCTGCAGGGCAGGGCCGCAACGGCGGCAGAAGGCTCCGCGACAGCTGCTGCAGGGCGGGGCCGCGACTGTGGCAGGGCGCTCCGCGGCAGCTGCTGCAGGAGCGACGGCGGCGTCCAGGGGCAGCCGCGGCGCGCGGGGCTGCAGCGCGCTACGCTAGCTGCGGACGCGGCGCGCGAAGCCGCCGCGGGCTGCGCGAGGACAGCAGCCGCGGCGCGCGGGGCTGCAGCGCGACGCGCGGGCAGCGAACGCTACGCGCGGGGCTGCAGCGCGACGCGCGGGCAGCGAACGCGACGCGCGGGGCTGCAGCGCGACGCGTGGGCTATGGGCACGACGCGCGGGGCAGCGACCTGGCCTGGCGCGTCAGCGACCTGGCGGGGCGGCGCTCTGGCCTGATGGGCCTGCAGGGGCGGCTCGCGGGCCTGATGTGTCTGCAGGGGCGGCGCGTGGGCCTTACGGGCCTGCAGGGGCGGCGCTCTGGCCTAGGGCAGCAGTATGCAGCACGAGGGCTGCAGGACGGCGCGAGCAGCGCAGCACGTCACAAGGCAAGGCAGGCAGGCAGGCAGGCGCAGGACAACACGTGGGGTAGCGCGGTAACCGCAACGGTAGGTGGGCCCGAAAAAAAAAAAAAAAACCGGTCCTACGGACCTAGTGCTCTGAAACCATGTCAGAATCTAGCAGCAGGAATGAATGAACTATGAAAGAGTTGGGTACAAGTATGAAACCCTAAAAGGGGTTGTACCCCATATTGGCTACCCCACTACAGCCTACACATATGTAACATGCATATACTTTGACACAGGTCTCCAACTCAGCATCACACAATGACTCCCATACAGCTCGTGGGGAAAAGATCATACAGGGGCCGAACAGTGCCCGAGAGGTGATCAAACAGGGGCCGAGAGGCCCGGAACTAACCAAACCACTGCGCAAAAAGGTATTTGCAGAGGGTCATCATTTATTGAACGTATGTCCGTTCAACATTCGCATTTTCGCTCGCGCGTCATTTTTCATGGAAATAGTTACTGATTCATCACCTTCCACCCAATAGCGTCGTTTAGCAAGCCAGAAACTCTTAGGGCAGCCAAAAAAACAAAAACCCCTGGGGAACCTGGATGCATTTTCGGGATGGATCAACCCTAAAAACGGGAACCTTCGTTGTGTTTAGGGTTGATGCCTCCCTAGTCGCATCCGTTTCCAAATGGGTAATATTTTTTGTTCTGCGCGTTTCCGATCAGGTAGTGATATGTATCACCCATAATAAAACATATATTTTTTGGACTCACAAATTAACATAGCAATATTTACTTCCAGAAGAACGCGATGCGCGCGTAGTACGGTAGTAGACGGCAGTCGTAACCCTTTTTTAAATAAGTTGGACACGAAGTTTGGTGCTGGTAGCATTTCTCTTTCAGTCACGGTTCGGCTTGTTCGCCTAGCCTCTTGGGCAGCTCGGGGTTGAAATCCTACGGTCGAGATTTTCTGGCCCTACTTTGGTCATCCCTCTGGCACTCTTCGGCCCCAATTTGATCATTTCCACAGCTCGTGCGTTTTCTCGGAATTGTACTTAAAGATTGTTGGCGGGATTGCATAGCCCAATGCGACGCGGCGGGTGAGACGCGCAAACGACACGCCATCGTGCCATGACGCATGCCACGTAGTGGGATTAGCGCGATGGGCGATGCGCAGGGTCATGGATGTGACTCCATTGGTGCACGAAAGAATCGCGAGGCTCGCTGAAACCTCGTACGTGCCTGACACAACACACGTTCGGTTCATGGTGGTCGACAGAGTTTGTGCATATATTCGAATCTTGTTCACATTTATAGGTTCGCACTTAGAGAAGTTGGTGATAGGGTCAAGCTTGACGAAACTTTCTGCGAACATTGGCGACATGGGTAACCACACCAAGTTCGACCCGTATTACGAACTCCAAAAAAAATCACACACCCCGTAACAAATTTGCCATGAGGTCGGGAGGGAAGAAGGCGGGCGTAGCTAAGGTGTTAAAGAGTGAGTGGGCTGACCAGACCAGATTGGGAGGGTGGGGAGTCCGCTTGGGACTGAGTGAGGCTTGCTTGTGATGTCTGCGATCCATCCAACAACATGAATTGTGGTTAAAATGGTGAGGGTGGGGAATAAGTGGGCATAGCGAAGGTGTTGAAGAGTGAGTGGGCTGACCCGATTAAGACTAATTGGGGATTGTTGTTCGTGACGTCCATGTATGTCTAATGGATGGAAGATTTACATGTTGAGTTTACAAGCGCCTCAATGATTGAAGCCGTAACAGGTTGATTGTGAGAGGTGTGATCGGATTTTTTTAAGAGCCCTTTTTCTAGTTAGGCCATTTTGATTGTGAGTAGTCATCTGCTGGTTCTACCATCTGGATTGAGGATTGTTTAATGACATCATTTTTTTTTCATTTACATACTTTATCAATAACAAGAGGGCACCCCAGGGAGAGCAGCAGCTAGGGGGGCAGCCGGGGGTGACCCGAGCACCCCAGGGCGAGCAGCAGGCAGGGGAGCAGCCGGAGGTGCCCGGAGCACCCCAGGGAGTGCAGCAGGCAGGAGGGCAGCCGAGGGTGCCCGGGGCACCCCAGGGAGAGCAGCAGGCAGGAGGGCAGCCGAGGGTGCCCGGTGCACCCCAGGGAGAGCACCAGGCAGGAGGGCAGCCGGGGGTGCCCAGGGCACCCCAGGGAGAGCAGCAGCTAGGGGGGCAGCCGGGGGTGACCCGAGCATCCCAGGGCGAGCAGCAGGCAGGGGAGCAGCCGGAGGTGCCCGGGGCACCCCAGGGAGTGCAGCAGGCAGGAGGGCAGCCGAGGGTGCCCGGGGAACCCCAGGGAGCGCAGCAGGCAGGAGGGCAGCCGAGGGTGCCTCGGGCAACCCAGGGAGTGCAGCAGGCAGGAGGGCAGCCGAGGGTGCCCGGGAAACCCCAGGGAGCGCAGGAGGCAGGAGGGCAGCCGAGGGTGCCCGGGGCACTCCAGGGAGAGCAGCAGGCAGGGGGGCAGCCGGAGGTGACCGGGGCACCCCAGGGAGCGCGGCAGCCAGGGGGGCAGCCGAGGGTGCCCTGGGCACCCCAAGGGACGCAGCAAGCAGGGGGGCGATCGATGGACGACCAGGAGCAGCAGTTGGAGGAGTGGTGTCGACTTTTGGAGTTTGATACCCCCATGGCGACTGCGGAGGAGTCCGAGGCGGACGGCGAATCTCCCAGGCCGCCTTCCCCATGCCCCTGTTTTCCGTGTGACACGTGTTTCCATACTTTCGCTACGCGAGGGGCCGCTGCGAACCACATGAGGGTATGCCGGGCGGCTGAGGCGGAGAGGCGTGCACAGGCTCTCGGCTCGATTCCGTCTCTGGTGGAGACCGACACGCAGGAGCGACCGGCGCCGCGGGAGTTTGGGGACGAGGCGTGGGCTGGGGTCACGTCATGGGAATGGGAAACATTTTTCAGTGTGGAGGCGGTTGGAGGGAGGACAGTGCGCCGGATTCCACAGCGGGCCAGGTCGGGGGCTTTAGACGCGCTCTGTTGTATCCTAAAGCGCTTGAAGAGCCAACCGGGGGATGAAGCCGCTACCCTCCTACTCTTGGCGTTTCCGCGCCTCATCCTGGCCGTGCCTCCCAAGCCAGGCATAGGTCAGAAGGCGCAGATCACAGAGCGGCTGGGTGCGTTCTGGGAGGGGAGGTGGCGGGAGCTATTCGACTCTGCCATGGTGGCAGCGCGGCCAGCAGTTCGCCCACTTTCCTACACTTGCTCTGACGAGGACCCGGACGCCATCCGCCTATCACGGTGCCGATCTCGGTGCAAAGTGGGGGGAGTGGAGCCGTGGTTTGGCCTGCCTTACAGCAGGGGAGTTGGCTCGACCGTCTGAGGCCATGGTGCAGTCGCTGCGAGAGAAGCACCCGGCTAGTACTGGCGAGGTACCACAGTGGATCCGCGATTTCACCGTCGATACTGCTCAGCGGCCTTCACTCACGACCGACATCCTGGCCAGAGCTATCCATACAGCCGCTCGAGCTTCAGCAGCAGGGCCATCGGGGTGGGTCACAGAGCATCTGCGCGACACCTTCCTCACTGAACCTGCGTGCCTTTCCCACCCGCTGGAAGTGTTCAACCAATGGGTGGCGGGACAGGTCCCCGAGCGAGCTCGGCCGTGGCTTGCCGCATCTAACCTAGTCGGGCTTTCCAAACCTAACGGCGACGTCCGGCCGGTGGCGATCGGGGAAGTGCTTCCTCGTATCCTTGCTCGAGCTCTGTGCATCTCGCTCCGCCCTGCGATGGTTTCCTACTTCCTGCCGTGCAACCAGCTGGGAGCGGGCACCAGGGTCGGGGCGGAGATTCTCACTCATTCTTTCCGGTCAGCGCTGGCCACTCACCCCGACTGGTGTGCGCTACAGATAGACGTCGCAAACGCCTTCAATTCGTTTCACCGTCATGCGATGTTCGATGGGCTGCGGGAGTCGCCTTTCTCAGGGATGATCCCATTCTTGCGTGTTTTCTATGGGACACCCAGCGACCTGTACCTCCGAGCAGGCCCTTTCGTACAGAGTCTCGAGTCGGCACGGGGATCGAGGCAGGGGGACCCGCTCGGCCCTTTTCTTTTCGCGTTCACGCAGCAGCTGGTGATGGAGCCGGTTACTAGGGAGTTCGGGGACCTGCTTTTTCTCAGCTATGCAGACGATACCTATATTTTGGGGCCAGCGGCTAGGATTTTGGAGGCTTTTGGGGTGCTGCGGGAGCGGTTGGAGTGGGTGGGGCTGGAGGTGCAGGCGCACAAGTGCCGGTTTTGGGAGCGCAAGGGCGGGGAGGTGGAGCGGGCACTGCCATTGGGGACGCAGCGGGTGGATGAGGGTCTTACTGTGGTGGGCGTGCCTATTGGGGAGGAGGTTTGGGAGGTGGTCCGGCTACGGGAGCGGCTTCGACAGTTGCAGGCGCCACTGCCATGGCTCCCCTTGCTCGACCACCCCCAGATGGCTTCACACCTCCTCGCCATTGCAGTTTCAGCGCGGCCGATGTACCTCGCCCGGACTATGCCGCCGCGCCCGGAGGTGGTTGAGGCTTTTAGGGATTGGGACAGCTGTTTAGAGGATTGTTTCGAGCAGCTTTTCCCACCTGGCACTTGGGAGCAGGACCCCGACCGGTCTAGGCGCGCACGCATGCAGCTGCATCTCCCTGTGCGACTCGGAGGGTTCGGGATCCGGGCGGCGGCCTCTTTGAGCCCATTGTCCTATGTCTGTGGGTGGGCGCAGGCCGCGCGTGACATTGCACAGTTAGGGGTGGCGGGCGAGGAGGCGATGTTTGCAGAGTACCTCACCACTTCGACAGGGGCAGAGTTTCTTGACCCGTGGTTTGCCAAGGCTCTTGAGCAGCTGCCAGCGACTATCCGCCAGGAGATACCGGGCTTACCTCTGTGTGTAGCGGCCCCTCCTGTTCGGCTTTTCCAGGCGCGGCAGCGGCAATTAGCTGTAGAGGAGCTCCAGGCACTGCGACGTTTGGCTCGTGACGATGCTACCTTGGCCCGTTTCACATCCCTTCAGGGCCCGGGGGCGGGTGCATGGGTCTCGGCGGTTCCGGCTCACTCAGATCTCACATTCACTGCGGCCGAGTGGGGCATTGCTGCTGCTATACGGCTCGGGCTCCCAATTCAGCAGCTGCAGGTGGCGGGGAGGTGTGTTTGTGGTACAGTGTATGGTGACCCAGCAGACCCGCATCATGCCCTGAGATGCAAGCACCAGCATGGTCCATCTCGGGTGCATGATGAGGTGAAGTTTGCGGTGGCGAAGATTTCTAAGGCGTCGGGGGGGGTGGTGACAATGGAGGATAGTGTGGTGCTGCAGGGGAAGCGGGTTGATGTGGCGGTGCGACGACCAATGGCTGGAGAGGCTCACGCCCTAGAGATCAGCGTCGCGGACCCGCTATCGCTGTCTCCATCCCTGCTAGGACAGTGCGGGCGTCAAATAGGTGTGGCGGCAAGAGAGTGGGAGCGTCGCAAAACGAGTGATTACGCGCCTCTGCTTGCATGCAACCGGGGCGTGCAGTTCACCCCTCTGATAGTAGAGACGTGGGGGTGTCTCGGCGGTCGTTTTCGGCGGTGGCTTCGTCAGCAGGGGGATGCGCACATGGGGTTAGCTGTGTCGCGGGGGGCTTGTCGGGAGGACGACTCTGTGTTTTCGGCTTATCTTTTAGGGTCACTGAAGGCGCTCATCGGGGTGGCGTTACAACGTGCGCAGGCCCGAGTCATCCTGCTGCGGGCGGCGTCTTCCATGGGGGGAATTAACGTAGACTTGGTCGATCGGGAGAGGGACGATGTCGATGTGGAAGGCGGGGCTCTTTGGGTGGAGGCCCCGTACATGGTGGATACGCTGTTGTGATTGGGGGGGGGGGGGGGGGGAATGGGGTGTGGGATGGGACGTCTTGATGGGGTGTCTTGATTGGGGGTTTTGATTGGGTATCTTGAGGGGGGGTTTTATGTGTGTTGCGTTTGGTTTCTTTGTGGCAGTTTCACTTTCCTTCTCCCTTTCTTTCTTCATTTCCCTTCTCCTTGTTGAGTCTTTCTTTCCCTCCTTTTCCTCTTTCTGTTTAGGTCCTTGAGAGATTCATGTTTGTACAAACTGATACTAATAACAAGAGGGCATCCATTGAAGCAAAAGCATGTACAGTATAAAACCAAATTGGAAAGTACATTTGGTACTTTTTATTTGAGATGTAAGTTTTGTTTTCATATATGCAAATATCGAACTCTGCTGCCTGTAAACCAGACGAAAATGTCGGGGACGGGACCATGATTGCGGAACCCTGGCTGCTCAGGAGCGTAGTTCCCAAGAACCTTAGTTGCTGGACACATGCTGGCGTGGCGATAAATTCGCCAAGTCAGGACGGAGGGACCAGGGTCCGTCACAGTCGCATTCGCCCGCCGCTGTGGTGTGGCGTTCTCAGTGTTCAACGAATCACAAAGACGGAACGGAGACATTCTCGAGCAGCCTCGAGCTCAACTCACGGCAGCAAGTCCGTCCATTTTCACCCGTCATTCAGTCAACCACCAGGAGAACCCCCTTTTCTCGTCGACGAGCCGCTTCCTAGTTCACGGGCAGCGGGCGGAAAATGCGACCCGTATATTTATGGGCAGCTACAGTTGAGCCTGCTGCCCATAAACTCCGTCAATGTAAATGAACGAGCCGCAGTTTTGCCAGGCGACAGTACCGGGCTTCGAGGTTCGGCTCGGAGCAAAAGACGCGGACTACTCCTATTGGCGGACCAAATGCTGGGCTTTGAGGTTCGGCTTGGAGCAGCAGACTCGGTCTCCTCCGTGGTTCGGCTCCTAATCCAGAGCAGGGCCGGAGCACTTTTCGGGGTGTTTTTTTTTTTGCCTTTCGTCTCAATTCGGGCAGCAGGCTTTCTTCCTTCGTAGCCTCGAGAGTTGCTTTTCGCCATCCGAGCTCCATCCCACTCTTCCCTCTGCCTTGAAACCCCTTCCCTTCCCAAACACTACAAGGCCCTCCTGTCCTCCTCATTCCCACCACCACAGCAGTTGCAATTTCATTCTCAGACTCACCTTCTAGCTCCTCGAGGCTTCGATCAGCTTCACCTCCTAGCTTCGGCTCTCGATTCGCCTGTTCGATTAGCCTCTCGTTCCTAGTGCGATGGCATCTCGGATTCCCCCGTCTCTTGTTGGATCTGCGCGCTGCGCTATCCTCTTGAAGACGTGGCGGCACGCGATTGCAGTGCGCGTGGGACGCTTCAACGAGAAAGAGCAGTGCGCTCTGCGCTCCCCCCGTGCGTCGCTCGGCTTCTCCCCTCTGCGACCCAAGCCCGTGGCTAAGCCGCCCAGCAAGAAGCCCAGGCCGAGGGATGTGATGGGTACCGCTGCTGCTGTGAAGCCCAGAGCGGTGCAGAGCGGTCAAGCGACCGTCGCAGCTGCAGCAGTCAAAGCCACGCCAGCTAAGGTGACGCATGCAAAGGCGACGCCAGCTAAGGTGACGCCGGCTAAGGCGACACCTGCTAAGGCAGCGGCAGCCAAGGCGACGCCCGCCAAGGCGACGCCTTCCAAGGCGACGCCAGCTAAGGCGACGCCAGCTAAGGCTACGCCGCCAGCTAAGGCGACGCCAGCTAAGGAGACGCCGCCAGCTAAGGCGACATCAGCTAAGGCGACACCAGCTAAGGCGACACATGCAAGCTCTACTGTCGCGGTAGGTGTGAAGGCTGCAGGTGCAAGCAGCCCCGCAGTAGCAGCAGCAGCAGCTCCCCACAGCCCGAAGACGGGTCTGGTTGGTGGGTCTGGAATCCCCAGACCGGTAAGCAGTGCGTCAACAAGGAGGGCCGCAGCAGGAGCTACGGCAAGTGGCATTCCCAAGCCAGGGAAGGTAGCAGCCAAGTGAAGGAGTGAAAAAAAAAAAGTCTTCAAAAAAAAAAAAAAAAAAACACATTATTGCAGATGGGATCCAGGGCGTGTTCAATGGGGATGTGAAGGGACGAGTGTGGTTGGTGAGACGGCATGGCTGGTGGGGGCTAGGCTAGAGGGAGGCGCATGGAGGGACTTACCCCTTTTTCCACCCTGCTTGCAGGGTGTTGTGGGAGAGATGGGAGGAGAGGTGGAGGAAGGTGAGCTGGAATGGGGAGGCATGGCATGAAGGGGGATGGCATGCCCTTGGATCTGAATGCCCATGCTCACTGTGCGAACTGTTGCTGCACCGTGCACCTGCTTGGCTCATGATTAGTAGAAAGCTCTATATTATTATAGTATAGATTATGTTTTAGGTTCAAAGTTTGTGATTCTTGATCCTATATTTATGTTATTTCTGTTCATGTGCTTTTCGTGCTTGTGTGTTGAGTGGGAGTGGTGCATGGTTGGGCGGAGTGGCTGGTTGGGTGCATTTGGGTGGAGGAGGGGAGAAAGGGTAGAAGCCACTGAATGGTGCTGATTCGGTCTGTGTGATTTAAGGGGTGTGGTGATGCTGCCTTGGGTCAGCGGTGGTATTCTACAGTGTTTTTCCCCATCCCTTCCATCATCTCTTATTTCGCCATATCTCCACCTACTCCCATTATCCCGCCATCCTTTCATTTTAACAGTATATGATGCTTTATTCCACCCATGAATTCCATTTTCCATTTTATCAGTATGTGCTGCTTGATGAGTATCTCGTGTCAGTTTCATTGCCTCCTGATGCTTTCACCATTTCATGCTAGATTTTCCAGCTCATGTTATCATGCTTTCAGTTTCTCATGGAAGCCATACCAGCACATGGTGCGTTCAGTGTCCCATTCCGATTTCATCAGCTCATCAATCTCTGATGCCATTTGCATCAGCTCATGATGCTTTCAACAGTGGCTGATGCTGATTTCATCACATAATGAGGTCATAGCATTCTCCAGTCCCTCTCCAAACGTATTCCCACCCCTCCCTCTTCATGTCTCTGATACTCAGAGAGCACTGATGCTCGAAGCAACCCCTGATGCTATCCCATAGCTTTCACCTATCTTTTCGTTTTTCTTTTGTTTGGTTTTGTTTTTCCCCGCAGGATGTGATTCCTATTTCATTGCTTAAGCTTTGATGGTTGCTGTTGCTCAAGATTCTTATTAGTTAATGAATATTTTCCGTGTCATATATATAAACCGCTCATGATGACTTCAGTCGCCCTTGCCAATATCACCTCATCATGATCCTGTGCAGAAGGGATGGCTGGTGGTTGTTCTTAGGCAGGCACAGGAGCGGTGGATCAGGGAGCAGATGTTGAGTTGAATTGAGTGGCGGTGTGGGAAATGCTGATGATCACTTGATCTGTGTGAAACCCCTTACACAGCTGAGTTCTGTGTGAGGTTACATTCTTCCTCTTTGCAATGAACCTCACCAGCTGATGCCTTGCCATTGCCTCTCTTTTTTCTCAGTACCTCTCACGTCATCTCTTCAATTCTTAACATTTTTCTATGCATTGAAGAGCATTTCTGTTTCCAGTCCATCCCTGTGGCCTTGCCAGTTAATGCTCATGATTGCAGTGCCTCCTCCTCTGCCCCCCGCTCCAGCATTCTTTTTGCTCTGTGTCAAAGATTCCCTTCACCTACTTTGCCTTCTCACATTCTTAGCCTTCTCACCTTCTTTGCCTTCTCACCTACTTTGCCTTCTCACCTACTTTGCCTTCTCACCTACTTTGCCTTCTCACCTACTTTGCCTTCTCACCTACTTTGCCTTCTCACCTACTTTGCCTTCTCACCTCCTTTGCCTTCTCACCTACTTTGCCTTCTCACCTCCTTTGCCTTCTCACCTCCTTTGCCTTCTCACCTCCTTTGCCTTCTCACCTCCTTTGCCTTCTCACCTTCTTTGCCTTCTCATGCAATCAACCTTCAACAACTACTCTCTCTTTCCACACCCCTACAGTGAACTTTCTCAGGATTCCCTTAAGGCCCAACCGCTCTGACTTTGAGAGACTTGTGGGTTAGTAAAAACTTTTGTTCTTGCTCTGCGCTTTCTGCTAAACAGTCATTTTTCTTCCACGCTTCTCTCCCCCCCGATCAGTTTGCTCTCCATATTGCTTCCTACCCTCATTGCTCGCTTGTTCCCTCAGCTCATTCATACCTCCTTCTGATGCCTCTAGCATCTTTTGCCATTTTTTATATCTCATTATGTGTCCGGCATTGCACATCAGCAACATCACTTCATGGTGCCTTCAACATCAACCCATGATGCCACTGGCATTGCATGTCAATTATGGTGTGAGAGGCAAAAGAGGCTGGTAAAAAGACACACAGCAGGTGTGAGCTGTTCGTGGGCGAAGGAATGTTTACTGGCACTTGAGGTGACTATTTGGAGACACACTCGGTGCAAGAGTCTGAGCCTGCTTCCAGCATCCAAGCCAAGTGCGTTCGCACATGTCCGATTGGCACAACATTCACATCCGATGCGAGTTATAGGATCACTATATATTCTGCCGTTGTTTGTTTGTCTTGTATATTATATAACTAGCAAAAGTTAATTTTATCGTAGTTAAATTCCAGATTTGACAACTCTCAATTTAACTATGCTAGAAAACAATAGAAAGCTGTTGTTGAAATTGTTGAATTACTCGGAAACACCTGTATGGGATATTTTTAGAATACAAATAACTGTAATGGCTATCGGAGCAGTTTCAGAAATGGTGACATCTGAGCTCCAACATATAGAAATTCCAGATGGTGTGATGTAAGCTATTGCTCTCGTCTCTACACAACCGTTCCGACCATTGCACGTCGAGGCGCTTCCACTCGTCCAGAACGTCCAGAGGAGGTCCTAGTTTCCTGTCGCTTCCACGTTTTAGGAACTTCCATACTTCGGGTTGTGATCGAGATGGCGAAACGCAGCGTTTTCGCGGCGCTGGTTACCATCGTGATCGCGACGATGGTTCTGTTACCGTCGCGCGGCGTCATGGCGGACCTCATCTTCGGCTCGCGCGTCGGTACGCTCGCTCGCTCGCGCGTTGTTAGGCTCGCTTGCTCGCTCGCTCGCTCGCTCGCTCGCGCGTTGCTTGTTACACGGCGTCTATTGACACCAGAGGTGCCGTTTCAGTAGATGTAAGAGTCACCGCGCTGTCTTGTGGACTCACAGCCATCATTAAAGCGTTTTCCCCCCTCGTCCCGCGTCGCTGCGCTCGCTCGCAGTTTCTTCAGTACGCTCGCTCGTTCGCGCGTGATACGTTCGCATGTCGTTTTTTTGTGGTACACTCGCTCGCGCTTTCGGCGCTCCCTTGTGGATTCACAGCCTATCAACGAGCCGTTTCTCGCCCTCCTCCCTCCTCTCTTTCCTCTTCAATTTCCTGCCCTTCCACGCTACCACTCCCTTCCTCACCCTTCTCGTTCGCTTGACGTGAGCTCATCGCCTTGCTCCGCTGCCCCTATATGCTCCTCCCGCTCCCCTTCGCTTCACAGTAGGCCAGATGACCGTGACTTTGAGCTCTTTGAGCTCTTTGGCCTGCGTCTTTGACTTCTCTGCAGGCAGCAAGCAGCACTGCGTTTCGAGTCGACTCAACACTCCCCTTCCCGCTCCCTGTCCTTGTCTGCTCTGCCCGCTCCTGTTCATGTCACACTGCAGGCCAAATGACCTTCCCTGCAGACAGCAAGCAGCCCAAACTCTCCGTCATCTTCTGACCTTTCCTTTCCACACCCTTCTCTCGCTCCTCCTATGCTTTCTCTGCCCCTATTGCCGTCGCTTCACTGTAGGCCAGATGACCTTCCCAGCAGACAGCAATCAGCCCAAACTCTCACTCGTGGCCTCCCCCAAATCACACCCACTCTTACACCACCCCCTCTGCTTCCCCTGTCTGCCTGCTTCTCTGCCCCTGTCTGCTCTCCCTGCTCCTTTTCGCCTCACTGCAGGTCAAATGACCTTCCCTGCAGACAGCAAGCAGCCCAAACTCTCCGTCGTATTTTGGCCTCCCCCCTCCACGCCCTCCTCTCCCTCTTCTACCGCCACCTCACAATACACGCCTGCCTCCCTGCCAGTTGACGTGAGTGACGATTCACTGGGGAAGGAGTGTGGGATGGTGGTGAAAAGGGAAATCATGCGTGTAAAGGGATGAGGATGGGATGGGATGGGGATGGGATGGGATGGGATGGGATGGGATGGGATGGGATGGGATGGGATGGGATGGGATGGGATGGGATGGGATGGGATGGGATGGGATGGGATGGGATGGGATGGGATGAAATGGGATGGGCTGGGATGGGATGGGATGGGATGGGATGGGATGGGATGGGATGGGATGGGATGGGATGGGATTGGGTGGGGTGGGGTGGGATGGGGTGGGGTGGGGTGGGGTGGGGTGGGGTGGGGTGGGGGGGGTGGGGTGGAGTGGGGTGGGGAGGGGAGGGGTGGGGTGGGGTGGGGTGGGGTGGGGTGGGGTGGGGTCGAATGGGATGGGGTGGGGTGGGATGGATGGGATGGGAGGGGGTGCGCTGCCTTTGCATCCTCCCCGTGCCCACACTCTATTATTGAGGCGCCTCAAAACTAGTCTCGCCGTTCCATCCACCTTCGATCCACCAGGAGCCCGGTCTAGACCAGAGTTGGGTGATATGACTGCTAGTGACGGCACATACCGGTGCGGCCGCATCCTCCCCGCGCACCACTGCCCTCACCATTCCATCCTGCCTTGACCCATCCATCAGGGGCCGGGTCTAGAGTCGGTTGAGATGACCACCACTGATGGCACGCTCTATCGCTGCATCTTCTCCCCTCCCCCTTCCAACCTCTCTGCTTAAGCATACTCCCTTTCTAGCCGTGCTCTCCCCATGCCGCTCTCCCATTCTCCTTTGGTCCATCAGGAACCAGGTCTAGAATCGGTTGAAATGACTGCCAGTGATGGCGCGCGCTACCGCTGCATCCTCCCACCGCCTTCGCTCTCCTCCCCGCCCTCTCCTGCTGGAGGGGCGGAGGGGGCGGGGGCGAAGGGCGGGGCGGCAGGAGTGGCGTTTGGGGAGAGCCGGAAGAGTCCGGAGGACCTGTTGGATGCGATGAAGGGTCTGCCTTGCTTCTACCGGGTAAAGTCAGCTTAAGCACTGCTATGAGAACGGGCTGAAGTTCTTCTATGGGGTTTGTGTATAAGGTGTGTTTTGAGTCGACTCGCAACATACCAGGAGTGGCGTTTGGGGAAAGCTGGAAGAGTCCCGAGGACCTGCTAGATGCGATGAAGGGGCTGCCGTGCTTCTACCGGGTCAGTTTGCATGGGGTACAAGTAAACTGTGTTTTGTTGGGTCGACTCACAAGTCACAAGCACAGCAGGAGTGGCGTTTGGGGAAAGCTGGAAGAGTCCGGAGGACCTGCTAGATGCGATGAAGGGGCTGCCGTGCTTCTACCGGGTGCGTCTGCGTCGGGTACATGGCTGTACTGTACTCCCGTGTTCTTATATCGAACTGTATGGTCAGCTTGCAGAGGATACATGGGTAGGCATGAGCATGTGACCCGAATGGGTCGCAAGACCGATGAAACAGAGCGAACTCAACCCTCTGGGAGCAGGGCTCATGTTTTGAGTCGACTCAAAACACGACTCATTACACATGTGACCCGAACGGGTCACAAGACCGATGAAACAGAGCGAACTCAACCCTCTGGGAGCAGGGTTGTCACCTGGGTGCTGCATATGATCCGTTCCCCTGCATTTAGTCTCCCCGCTGCAACTCTCCACTGCCCTCCCTCCCTTCCCCCCAATCGTTCCAAAAAGACGGGTGGTGGCCGTATGATTTCTGCTACAAGAAGCTCTTTGACTGGCAGATGCACATAAAATCAAATCAAGCAGCTTTTCAGGCTCAGAAATCACTGCTGTCCTCCCTTCCTGCGCACAATCCCACTTCTTTCCCTCCCCGCCTTCCCTCCCCCCCCCTTTGAATCGTTGCAGCAAGACGGGTGGTGGACGTACGAGTTTTGCTACAAGAAGCACATTCGCCAGATGCACATTGAACAGCAGGACGGGGAAAACAAGGTGAGCTGCGGGACGGGGAAAACAAGGTGAGCAGCAGGACGGGGAAAACAAGGTGGGCTGCAGGATGGGAAGGTGGGCGGCAGGATGGGAAGGTGGGCGGCAGGATGGGAAGGTGGGCGGCAGGATGGGAAGAACAAGGTGGGCGGGTGCCTGGGTTATTCTGTGCGCGTGCGTGGGTGTCTGGCATTGCATGTGTCTCTGTGTGTTTGTCTGTCTGTGACTGTGTGTGTGCGCAGGCGCGCGCGCGCGTGTGCGTGCATGTGATGTGACCGTGTGTGTGCAAGCCGGTGTGTGTATTCGGGTGTGTGTAGAGCGAGGTGACTTTTGAGTCGACTCAAAAGTGTAGAGCGTCCCTCTGAGGAGGATTTTTTAGTCCCTCTGAAGTCGACTCAGAAGTCACCTCGGTGTGTGTTTTGGGGTGTAGAGCGTAGCGTCTCTCTGAGGAGAATGCACTCAGCAACCTTATAATGCACCCTACCTAAGTAATGCGCCCTAACTCCATTTTGGACTTCCTAACTGAGGTGCACCCTGGTCATAGTATTCACAAAAGTAACAGATGACTTTTGAGTCGACTCAAAAGTCACTTCTTAACTGAGGTGCACCCTGGTCATAGTATTCACAAAAGTAACAGATGACTTTTGAGTCGACTCAAAAGTCACTTCTTAACTGAGGTGCACCCTGGTCATAGTATTCACAAAAGTAACAGATGACTTTTGAGTCGACTCAAAAGTCACTTCTTAACTGAGGTGCACCCTGGTCATAGTACTCACAAAAGTAACTGAGGGGCCCTCTGCCATCCTGCCTGCTGCCCTGGCAGGTGACCATGGACTTTGTATTGGGGCGGTACAGCACCAGAGAGTACCTTTGAGACGTCTCAGAACACACCTGCATGCTTCCCTGCCCTCTGCCATCCTGCCTGCTGCCCTGGCAGGTGACAATGGACTTTGTATTGGGGCGGTACAGCACCAGAGAGTACCTTTGAGACGTCTCAGAACACACCTGCATGCTTCCCTGCCCTCTGCCATCCTGCCTGCTGCCCTGGCAGGTGACAATGGACTTTGTATTGGGGCGCTACAGTGCCAGAGAGTCACTGCGCGCACAGAGGAGACTCGACCCATTCCGAAGTTATGTTGCATGCTTCCCTGCCCTATGCCATCCTGCCTGCTGCCATGGCATGGCAGGTGACAATGGACTTTGTATTGGGGCGGTACAGCGCCGGAGAGGGTTTTTAAGTCGGCTCTGAATGCGCCGTCGTCATGCTTCTTTGGCATCATGTTTTCCTTTCCTTGCGTGCTGCCATGGCAGGTGACCATGGACTTTGTATTGGGGCGGTACAGCGCCAGAGAGTCACTGCGCGCACAGAGGAGACTAGAGGCAACCGCTGCTGCTGGTGGTGGCGACGTGGGGAAGAGGTGAGCGTGTGTGTGGGAGGAGCAGGTGCTCTGGAGGTGATTGAGTGGGAGGAGCTTATTAAGTTGGCTGACAAATGAGTTTCTCTTAATGCACGCACCAGGGAGATTGGATTGCATTCAGGTGACTTTTGAGTCAACTCAAAAGTCACCAGGATATTAAGTTGGCTGACAAATGAGTTTTTGTAAAGGCACGCACCAGGGAAATTGGATTGCATGCTCCATGTTAGGTGCAGCGGGGGCAGCGGCTGTTTTGCCAGCAGCAAGAGGGGCCAATCGAAATCTCAAAAACACCCTGCAACTCCTGGGGTATGCAGAGGTGGCCTGGTGTGATGTGTCCTGTCACTGTTACATTTTTCATGCCTGTTTATTTTCTTCTTCTTCTTCCTTTTCCCTCCATACCCCAACAGGTACGACGTGCATGTGTGCACCGACGGTACAGCCTGCGTCCTCACTGGCGCTGAATGTGATGTGTGGTGTGATTGCTAATTCCACCACCCCCCCCACACCCGTCTACAACCCTACTCCCCCCTCAACCCCAACCCCCATCGTTCCCACCCCATCAAGTACCATGTGGATATGACGGAAATCTCCCTATATTCGTGTGACTTTTGAGAATTCTCAAAAGTCACACGAATATCTCCCCCCATCAACTGCACTGCCTGCGTCCTCACTGGCGGTGGCTGTGATGTGTGGTGTAACTGTTTACCTGCCCCCACTTCCCCCCCTCCTCCCCTCCTCTCTTCCCCTCCCCCACCAGGCACCATGTCCACGTGCACACCAACGGCACTGCCTGCTACCTCACTGTGTGATGTGCATTCCGGCTGCTTCCTCCCTTCCCACCCCCACCCCTCGTCGTTCTCCCCCCATCAGGTACCACGTGCATGTCTACACCAACGGCACTGCCTGCGACCTTATCGGCACTGGGTGTGATGTGTGCTGTGACTGTTTACCCCTTCCCCCTCCTCCAACCCCCATCATTCCCCCCCACCCCACCAGGTACCACGTGCATGTATACACCAACGGCACATCCTGTGACCTCACTGGTGCATTGAACTCTCAAATCGAATGCTGTGTGTAACTGCTTTGCCCCACCCATCCACCCCTCCCCACCAGGTACCATGTCCAAGTGTACACCAATGGCACAGCCTGCGACCTCACTGGCGCTGGCCGTCGCACCGAGGTGTGTGAATGGGTGGGGAGGTGCGAGGTATGGTGAGAGTGGTGTTTTCCCAGGTTGAGAGGTGAGTGGATGACAAGGAAACCAGGAGGGACCGCCATACTCTGGTGTTGTCAAGGTACTGGCATGGCATAGTACGGGGAACTTTCTCGGTGACTTTTGAGTCGACTAGGTGACTTTTGAGTCGACTCAAAAGTCAGCAAGGTACTGGTGCGAGATGGGAGCCAGTGATCTGGCACTACTGTACTGTAACAGGCTTGATTTAGTGACAGCCTGGCATAGTACGGGCATGGCATAGTACGGGGAACTTTCTCGGTGACTTTTGAGTCGACTCAAAAGTCAGCAAGGCACTGACATGGCATAGTACGGGGAACTTTCTCGGTGGACCCGCATGGGTAAGAGGGCCTGATTTCCTCCTGCGTTCACCCATAAGCCCCCAAGAAAGTCGTGTTTTGAGTCACCCATAAGCCCCCAAGAAAGTCGTGTTTTGAGTCGACTCAAACCACGATTCACCCATAGCCCCCAAGAAGATGAGCACAATAAGGCATGGTATACCGGTCCTTATGTAATGAGTCGAGTTTTGAGTCGACTCAAACCACGACTCATTACAAGCCCCCAAGAAGATGAACACAATAAGGCACAGCGAGGAGGAGGCACAGCGGTATACCGGTCCTCGCTGTGCCTTCTTCATCATCCGTGCAGAGCAGAGCAGAGCTCATTCATGGGCACTATCAAGGAGGGCCCCACGTGTGAATACCAACCTCCTTGCCTCCTTGCATCAAGGAGTTTCTCTAATCTGTGCTTGCCTCCTTCAACCCCTTACCCCTCTGCACACCCCCCCGTACCCCTGCCCCTCACCCCCACTCTCCTCCCCTTTCCCTCCTTTCATTCCCAGGTGCGGCACGTGTGTGAGGAGGGCGCACAGACGTTCATGGGCAGTATCAAGGAGGGCCCCACGTGTGAATACGAGCTGGCGCTCCACACCAACCTGCTCTGCTCGCACCCGTAGGTTTCTGCTTGGGTTCTTGGGCTGGTTTCTTTGTTGTATGTTGGACCGTGGGTTGTAGCGTTAGGGTTGAAGTCACCACGTGTGGATACGAGCTCGCTCTGCTCACCAGCCCGCTCTGCTCACCAGCCCGCTCTGCTCACCAGCCCGCTCTGCTCACCAGCCCGCTCTGCTCACCAGCCCGCTCTGCTCACCAGCCCGCTCTGCTCACCAGCCCGCTCTGCTCAAGGTGACTTTTGAGTCGACTCAAAAGTCACCTCTGCTCACCAACCCGCTCTGCTCACCAACCCGCTCTGCTCGCACCCGTACGTTCACCAATTGTGGCGTTGAGCTAAATTGGGTGCTTGGGGTGAGGTTAAAGCTTCAGGGTTGAAGTCACCAGGTTTGGTTTCTTCTGCTCCCACCCGTACGTGCTTCTCCCCTCCTCTCCCCCGTTCTCCTCCCTTTTCCCCCCATCTACATTGCTGCACTCTCAATCACGCTCCCCCCCTCTCCCCCCCTCTCCCCTCTCTCTTCTTCCTGCCCCAGCCTTTTCTGCGCGGTGCAGCAGCCCATCCACTTCATCAACTGCCACCAGCCCTTTGTTGAGGCGCAACAATATCACTCTTATCCACCTTCCATCCATCCCCCCTACCCTCCTCCCCCCTCCCATCTTCCTGCCCCAGCCTCTTCCGCACGGTGAGGCAGCCCATCCACTTCATCAACTGCCACCAGTTCCCCTGTGGAGGTGTTTTTCTAATCGACTGTAGCTTCCCCCCTCTTCCCCCCTTCTTCCTGCCCCAGCCTCTTCCGCACGGTGCAGCAGCCCATCCACTTCATCAACTGCCACCAACCCTTTGTTGAGGCGCAACAATATCACTCTTATCCACCTTCCATCCATCCCCCCTACCCTCCTCCCCCCTCCCATCTTCCTGCCCCAGCCTCTTCTGCACGGTGAGGCAGCCCATCCACTTCATCAACTGCCACCAGTTCCCCTGTGGAGGTGTTTTTCTAATCGACTGTAGCTTCCCCCCTCTTCCCCCCTTCTTCCTGCCCCAGCCTCTTCCGCACGGTGCGGCAGCCCATCCACTTCATCAACTGCCATCAGTTCCCCACTCTCTCCTCCTCTCCCTCTACCTCTGCCGACTCCGCTCTCCAACCCCCTCCTCTTGATGACATTGCGGGGGGAACCGGGGAGGGTGGTAGCCAGGGCGAGGAGGAAGAGGAAGAGGGTGTGGAGGGAGAGGGGGAGAAGAGGGAGGGAGTGGAGGGTGGTGGTGGTGTTGTGGTGGAGGGGGAGGAGGATGGGGTGCTGTCGTTTGAGTACGAGGGGGAGGAGGAGGAGGAGTTGATCGAGGTGGATCCAGAGGTGGAGGAGATTGAGGAGAGCCTCAGTGCCCTGTGACTCATACACACACCTTGTGATTCACACACTTTGAGGCGTCTCAAAAGGTGTACCATGTGGGAGAGGAGGAGGACGAGGAGATGATCGAGGTTGATCCAGAGGTGGAGGAGATAGAGGAGAGCCTGAGCGCCTTGTGTGAAGATCTATGATGAGAAACTGCGTAGTGTGTTTCAACTTCTGTAATGTCTCTAAGGTTGCACGGGAGAGAGGTGGTGGAGGCGGATCCAGAGGTAGAGGAGATTGAGGAGAGCCTCAGTGCCTTGTGACTCGCACACACACGTTGTTGTGTTGTGACCCACGTGGCTTGAGGGAAGTTGTATGAAGGAGAGGGACGAGGATGAGGAGCTGGTGGAGGAGGATCCTGAGGTAGAGGAGTTTAAGGAGAGCCTCACAGTGCCTTGTGAGTGACTCATGTGCTTTTTCGGGCTCTCGTTAATCAGGGTAATTAACTCTGATCTTCAGGACATGGAGTAGTTTATGTGGGCCACACTGATGGCTGACAGTATCCAATTAACCAGATTACATTTATGTATTATGTAACATGTATACAAGGGCAGTACAAGCTTCTTTCTACAACACTTTTAATTTCATTAATCGAAAGCCAGAAAGAAACAAACTGAGAAAACAATGAATGTCTACATTAAGGATGCAGATATGAATGATGTTCTTGATAAGCTGATGGGATAGGCATCAATAATGAAACCATCATGAGCGAGACGATAAGATAGCATCAGCTAGTGAAAGCATCACGATGTGAGGAAATGGACAAGAGATTTTGAAACCATTGTGCACCAATGCGATTGACATACACTCTGCTGCTGAAAGCATTATGTGGCGAGGAAATGGACAAGGAATCATGAAATCATCGTATGATGAAACAGGCATGAGGGGTACCTGAAAGGATGATGTGGCATGGCAAGGAGTTTGACAAGGGATCATGAAATCATTGTAATATGATGAAACTGGCATGAGATACGGTATCTGAAAGCATCTTATGGCAAGGAGATTGACAAGGGATCATGAAAGCATCGTAAGATGATGAAACTGGCGTCATGAAAGCATCGTAAGATGATGAAACTGGCGTGAGATACCTGAAAAGACAATGTGCTTAGGATTTTGACAAAGCATCCTGGAATCATTGCAGATGATGACATTGGCATGAAATACCAGAAAGCGCATGTGCTAAGGAAATTGACACGGGACCCTGATCCTGAAATTACTGTGAAATAATGAATTAGGCATGAGTTATTTGAAAGCACATGTGCTGGTGAAAGGAATGAGATACTGAATGTACCATGCGGGGATGCCAGTTGCATGGAATGCTAAGATACGCATTGATGTGAATGTACTAGAAACAAATGAGGCTGCTCGCCTCACAGCATATGTGACAGTTGCTCGTCAGTTGCCTAACGGAGTGGGGAGCAAGTGGGGGATGGGAGGGGGAAGCAATATGGATAGGTATGAGGAGGGGGACGAGGATAGAATAGGGATTTTTCGCTCAGGAAACGCGCACACAAGACAATGTATTGCATGTATCATCCTCAACTTTCTTAAATCAGAGCAGTTAGGCCTCGAGAGAGGATCCTGAGAGAATCTACCTTATTGGTGTGGAGAGCTGAATTGTGGTGAAGGCTTAGTTAAAAAGGGAAAGGAAGTTGTGAGGCCAGGAAGGAGGGAAGTTGTGAACACAAAGTCGAAAGAGAGTTGAAAACGCAAAGGAGGAGGGAAGTTGTGAACACTGACCGGCAGGGCAAGAGGGACTAGAGAAGGGAATGGTTTCTTGAACAACAAAGTGATGAGGTTCATTACCACTGAATGAAAAGGAAGGACTTAAGGGTTCTAAAGGAAAAAAACAATTGAGAACGAGCATTCTCCACACCCCTGGTTCTGCCCGACCACACCCATCCCTCTCTCCCACCCACGCACCACTCCCGCGCAACATCATGATGAGATGAAAGCATCAAGAGCTGGTGTGAACGGTAATGACCGGATAAGAGAGCGATGACCTGGTGAGACTTGCATGAAAAAAACTCAAAGCAGATAAATGGTGGAAGAATCACGATCTGACGAAACTGGCAAGCGATGTCATTTTCGGGAACAAAAACACAGGCAGCAACAACTCCAGCTGATGTGAAATTGGGAAATTCCTGGGTTCCATTAAGGTTTACCCATATCGCTTTTCACGTTTCAGAGAGATTAGAGGAGAGGAGGGGGGGAGGGATGAGAGTAGACGGTGATATGGTATTATGGAAAGACAACAAATGCGGGGGGGAGGGGCTGTAGATTGCAATGGCTCATGATTATATGAGACCAGCATAAACCACTGAAAGCATTACGAGCAGATGTGAATGACTTGATAGATTGAAAGGATGATGAGCTGACGAAATCGGAATGAGCCAGGGAACGCATTATGAGCTCATGAGACTCTGGGAAGAAGTGAAATGAAATAAAAGCATGAGGACATGACCTGATCACATAAAATGATAAGACAATGAAACTGAAACTGGAATGAAACTGGACTGAAGTACTCACCAAGCTGTCCATGATAATAAAAATGGACGAAAGCGGACCTCGTTTGAATGTGATCGTAAGCACGGTTCAAAACTCAAAGAGATGAAAGGAGGGAGAGAAACAAGTGAAAATACTACCGTTGACCCAAGTCAGAACGAGCATGCCACTTGAATCACACAGTCAGTGCCAGCACCATCAAGTCACTTTCCCCTGCTTCACCCCTTACCACCATTAAGCACACCAATCATTCCTCCCTTCCATGCACCACTCAGTCGCAACACACAAGCACAGAATGCACAGAATGCACATCAACATCATTCATATAAATAAAGCACCAATGGTTACACATTCCTGACCTAGAACACAAAATAGAACTATCTAGAAACTTCTACCATTCAAGAGCCAAGCACGTGCATGCGTGCTGCAGCAGCGGATCCAAGGGCATGCTCTTCCCCCTCATGCCATGCCTCCCCATTCCATCTCACCACATATCATCCACCTCTCCTCCCATCTCTCCCACAACACCCTGCAAGCAGGGTGGAAAAAGGGGTAAGTCCCTCCATGCACCTCCCTCTAGCCCCCACCAGCCATGCCATCTCACCCACCACACTCGTCCCTTCACATCCCCATTGAACACGCCCTGGATCTCATCTGCTGCTCCTGTGCTGCTGTTTTTTTTTTTTTTTTTTTTTTTTTTTTTTCCACTCTTTCACTTGGCTGCTACTTTTCCTGGCTTGGGAATACCACTTGACGTCACTCCCGCTGCGGCCCTCCTTGGTGCCGCACTGCTTGCAGGTCTCGGGATTCCACCTGCGCCAACAACAACCACCTTCGGGCTGTGGGGACCCGCTGCTGCTGGTACTGCTGGTGCTGCTGCTGGACTGCTTGCACCTGCAGCCTTCACACCTGCTGCGGCAGTCGCCTTGGCTGGCGTCGCCGTAGCTGGCGTCGTCTTAGCTGGCGTCGCCTTAGCTGGCGTCGCCTTGGCTGGCGTCGCTTTGGCTGGCGTCGCCTTAGCTGGCGTCGCCTTGGCTGGCGTCGCCTTAGTTGGCGTCGCCTTAGCTGGCGTCGCCTTAGCAGGTGTCGCCTTAGCCAGCGTCACCTCAGCTAGCGTGGTTTTCGCTGCTGAAGTTGCGACGGTCCCTTGACCGCTCTGCACCGCTCTGGGCTTCACAGCAGCAGCGGTACCCATCACATCCCTGGGCCTGGGCTTCTTGCTGGGCGGCTTAGCCACGGGCTTGGGTCGCAGAGGGGAGAAGCCGAGCGACGCACGGGGGGAGCGCAGAGCGCACTGCTCTTCCTCGTTGATGCGTCCCACGCGCACTGCAACCGCGTGCCGCCACAGCTTCAAAGAGGTTAGCGCGGCGCGCAGATCCAACAAAGAGACGGGGGGATCCGAGATGCCATTGCACCAGGAACGAGAGGCTAATCGCACAGAAACGAGAGCCGAAGCTAGGAGGTGAAGCTGATCGAAGCCTCGAGTAGCTAGAAGGTGAGTCTGGGAGACGAAGGAAGAATGAAATTGCAACTGGTGTGGTGGTGGGAATGGCGAGGACAGGTGGGCTTTGTAGTGTTGGGAAGGGAGGAGGTTCCAAGGCGAAGAGTGGATGGAGCTCGGGTGGAGAGAAGGAACTCTCGAGGCTGCGGAGGAAGAAAGACTGCTGCCCGACGTGGAAAAAAACACTTCAAAAGGTTTTATGATAATGCTTCAAAAGGATCCGAGAACAAGAAAAGCTTTGGCCAGCCAATCGGAGCTGTCCGAAGGACAACATTGCGACTCGAGCATCTGCTATCACGGAGTTTATGGGCAGCAAGCACAAGTGTCGCTGCCCAAAAATGTATACGGATCGCGTTTCCGCTAAACTCGCCCACTGCCCATAGACTACATCACAAACAACCCTCGTTCCATTTTGCGGGAGGTTGGGAAGTTCCGAGGGTTGGATGGTTGGGTTTCGCGATGAATTTCCTGTTTCGTCCAATCCCTGTCCAGAAATTGACGAGCGAACTAGGATTGGTCTTTCTTTGCCTGAAATTCATCTCATCGCGCCAACACACATTTCGAATCACTGTTGAGCGCGGTTCGGGGAGCTCAAATCAGTCCTGGTTAGGTTCGATATGGGACCAATATTGGTAACCCCTTCGTAGGTAAAATCAACTCCAATTTTGGTCTAAGTTTAGGCAACATTAGGACTTATGTTCTGACTCCAAAAAATAAAACACATGTAAATATTATTTTCAAATGGATCCGGCTTAGCTTGTGTGAATCTACAGAAACATTTTGTCGTAGAAACCAATAATGATCATATATTGTTGTTTTGGCAATATCAAACTTTGTTTCTTATTGTTATTTATTGTAATGCTGAATATATGTTTATATGTATTGTTCAAAACGTTATGCTTTTATGATTATTATTATTTTTTTCAGCCGAACAACAACCTGGTTTAGAATAACAAACGAGCGTTCATCTGGCACCAGGTAATAGCACAGG